CGTTGCTATCAATGTTGGGTCCATAACGTTGGATAATATTAATTGTAATTCCGTCCTTCTTTGTTATGAATGATGCTTTTATGATTCTGGATTCATGAGATTCCCATCCTACAAGGGCATTCCGTGCGTCTTTGAACAGCACTGGAGCGACCCTCCTGAGTGTGTAGAGCATTTTCCTCTTCCTGACCGGAGTATAGCAGCGTCTCTCCCGTGTTTGGCCTTTGTTGTTCAGCTTGGGTCCAATGGATTTCGCTGAGCCCCAGTACTGCCAAATTGTATCTCCTCATTTCCATTGCTATCTCACTGGTCTTCCCAGTCTCCCAAATCGTCCGGACGTTCCATGTACCAATAAAAATGGTTGCTCTGGTTGTTAGAAAGAGCATCGGCCTCTTGACTTCCGAAGGAACTCGGCTTTCACCACGAGGCGTCATAACTCTTCTAAATGAAGACCTTCTAACTCCCAGGGCAGAGTTTAAATGGTTTAAATTGTTTTTTCTGGTTAGCGTTTTTTTTAGCGAGTTAGTTTTCTACGGGATGGGGTCGCTAACTCCATGTCCAACACCCCTCCTTTGCCTGGGATTGGGACCGGCAGTAACTCTATAAGAGCTACAGGCAGAATTAGTGAAGTAGCTGCAACTGTTTAAAATTCGCCGTGCAACAATTACATAGCACAAACTGAAGTAGTTCAAATCACGACTTAACAGCATCATTAAGGTCCGTGTCAGAATACCATTATAAGTAGACCCTATATCCAACTGTATCCAGAACAGAATGTCCTAGATTGCACTACTTTCCATCATCAATTTAATGTTATGACTAGGGATATCACTGCAACATCTTTACCATAATACCTTACAATAATTGATTTAACCCTAACAATGGATAACAACAAAATAATACCTGATTCTATAACAAATATACATCCAAATAGGTTTGAATAATTATTATTTATCAATCAATGAGCAAAAAATAGGACGATATATAAAGTATAATCACAGAATAATAAAAATAAACTGTCAGAATATTTAACAATTAAAAATTCAACCATCTACCTTTCTATTTGATCTGAATTCATTGTCTAAAATATATAAAAAAACATAACTCTGATTAACAAACGTTAGGATATTTTCAAGTAAAGATGAATAGTGGCAAGCAGTGGAATCCAGGACACGCGTTTCGTCCTATATGTACCTGCATCCCAGTGTTGATGATTACACCAGCAAGAGACTGATCAATGAGAAGATACATGTAAAACAACACCAAGTGAATTTAAACCTTAAGACAGTTCCAAGTATCAATACAAATGAAAAATCTGCTTATACATTTAAAAAAATAAATGATTAGTTCACTGAAATATTTAACGCGTGAAAAATAATCGGATATGTAGTCATTCAAGTGAAAACAATAAAACGGATGTAGGTAATAACATGATAGTTGTAAATGTAAATAAATATTATTGTTCAATTAATAAAACTACGGGCAACTAAATTAAACATACTAGTCAATTATTTTATTAACAACTCTATTCTAAATTACAAAAGTGAAATAAATTTATTTAAATCCATTGAAAATATAAAAGGTATCCTATTTAAAAGCGATAGTTTATTACTATCTCCTATATGAATAAAACATTAACTTAATGGGGAACAACATCAAATGCTACTAGGATAAAGAGTTGAGATAAACGTTAACCTTTTAAAGGTTATAGTACTCATTATCGATCTATTGCGTGAAAATATGAGTTTTCTTGTTGTTTATACTAACTACTGAATTCGACCAGTCTTCGTTGAAACATGCTCAACTTCTGGTTCGATTCAATATTCTTTGTGTAATGTGAAGTTCTAAGACAAAAAAAAAATAATGACAGTTATTTTCTGTGACTGAATAACACCGAACATGACATTAGTTGAAATGTATACAAAAATAAAGGGCTGTACTGTCCTAGTTGGTAATAAATTTTCTCCATTACAAGTCAACATGCAGTCGAAATGAAACACTTCAGCTTTCAATATGAATATATCTTGTTTAAAATGTTGAGAGAAAAGTTCAGTGGTCTTTATTTTTAATTTCAAGCAATTCACTAATGCTCCAATGCTGCAGGGAGTCACTTGATCCTTTTGATATTGCCTACATTTAATAGTTACAACTTTATTCTTCTCAGATCTAGGATATTAATCATTAGTTTATTATATTATTTTTGGAAAAAGTTATTTATGGGCTGAGAATATATATAGTTTATCTGAAAGTTTTCTAGCTAGCGAACATATGATATTTAAATAGTTAATTAGTGAACATTTTGTACGCAAAAAATTTTGTCCTCATCACGGTTGATATCAGTCGTGGAATTGACCAAACGTTCTTGATCTTTTTACAAGACTTCAAAATCAAAGTAAACTTTAAACCTGCACGAACTCATGAATGAGTCCTTCTAAGAGGTCTTAAACTGTTAATTAGTAGCAGTCAGATACTTTCTGACATTCAGTAGTTAATCCGTGAGGGAAACTAACTTCATATTTCCATAGTTATCACATATTTTCCACATACAGTAGAATTAAGTTTTTATTTGAGGCTTCCAGTAGATTTTGCTTTAATGTTTTAATATTCACAATAATTACTTTTGAATTTAACTGGAACCAGATACACTTATGTTATCACGATAATTCAGATTAAAAATATCACATTTCTGGAATTTTATTGCTCCTAAAGTTATTATTTAAACACACATATAATGAGGCTTTTTGTTCAGCAGAAGTTCTATTCGTTTTTTTTCATAATGTTACCGAATACCTTCAATGTTTACGTAAAGCATTAGAAACAGTTACTAACCCTATACTAGTTAATAAATGAAACGGAAACACTTATAATAAAAGAATCATGTGAATGATAATTTTATTCACAAATTAATATCAGTGACTGAATCTTTGTAACGATGAGCCTCACAGTGAATATGTTATACCCTTTATGATCCTCATAACGACTTCTAATCACTTACATCAATCAGAAATTAGCTTTTTGACCCTTAAAATAAGCTTGATACCGATAAGTCAGCCGATCGAAATTTAATTGTTCGCATAATTCAAATATAGTTTACTGAGAATGGAGCATCAAATATTGTTAATGAGTATTTGACATATATATTGCATGCAGGAAAACATGTGACATTTGAAAACTAACTACTATTCATCCAACCAAAAGACTAAAAGGACTATTAATTTGTATAACTTGTTGTTTCTAACGGTTTGTGTAATATATATTATGTATGTAATAAATGATTTGTGTTTATTCATTATTACTTCTTGTGTTTTTCATATTATGGATCTCATAAACTCATATAGTAGTAGTGTAGTGAACAGAACACGAGTGTTGACAATCTAATGTGTTTAACACAAAATTACAGGGCTTTTTCATAAAATCTAACAATCAAATAGTAAATACGTAATCTGCAAAATGTCCATCAATTGTCTCATAATGACTCAGACTTCATTGTTCTTGCATTTTCATATAAATTGCATTATGTTTCCATTCTTTACTGTTCGATCCTCTTGTCTCTCTGCTTCCAGACTTTATGTTCCTGACTAACATCATATACTACTTATGTCGATATAAGTAGCACACACCACAGTATGATACACCTATTTCTGAAAGCTTAAATAGTTTGGTTATAGCTTGTAAGATAACTCACGTATTAAATTAAATTATCTATTTAATGAGTTTCGTGCTTAATTTATTCCTTTTTGAAGAGATTAGATAAGCATTCTTACCAAACAAAAAAAACAACCATAAGTCATACTACTTTAGCAAAGAATACTGACCGCAACAAATTACATTAAATATTAACCGAACAAACTGATAGTCACCAATCAAGTGACTCATGATCTCAACTATTGAAATTACTACAATTTCCACAATACCCCTTCTGATACAAAAACCTAAAGTTAACCGTTCACCTCTTTCTTGTATTTTTTTTGTCGATGATATTATCTTCAAAACTTTTTCAATGAGTTTTACAAATAAACTATATAGTTCATAAAATAAAACTCGACCTAAATTCTTCATTGAAATTCCTTTCACATCACTAATTTGTTATTTTCAATAATAAAATACTTGTTATAATATCTTAATTGTTAGATTATTTCTTAATTTAAATAAAGGAAAACAGAAAGAATATTCTAAATCTTTTAATTTATCAAAGTAACATTCTATTTTTGTTTGTTCTCTGTTAGAACTAAGAAACAAGAAAGAAAAAAAAATTGATACATTCAATCAAATTAGACAAAAATTGAACTGAGTATCTATTAAATTAGAAACAAAAAAAATGGGAATGATAATAATTTATTCATTGAAAAATACAAAAAAAAGTAACATAAAATGAAAGTAACTGACATAATATGATGAAGCATAAAGTATTTTATTGAATGTTTCTTTTATTTCGATTTGTTTGTTTTAAATCATCTGATACAAGTAAAAACAATAAATGTGGCAGTAACTAGAAAAGTAGTTTCTACATAGTATCATTTGTAAAAAGATTCCATTTTTTTGATAATAGAACTTAACTATATATATATATATATATCAGTATTGTAGCGGTAAATAAATCCCCGAAGTAAATAACTCTGTAAGTCTTCGACATTGGATGCTGACCACATTAGTTTTAATGGACTTACCTAGCTGAAGGCGCTCGGTCATGCATCTGCACTAGATCACGAGTGGGACCGCCATGTTCAACATCCCCTGCAATTGTTAGCCAGTCTAGATCAGTTGATCCATGATATATTGATGGCCTATCAAATATATCTTCAAACATTCTCGTTTCTGTCTTTTGATTTCACTTGGTGGATATGATTCATAGTAGAAGGTGTTACTGGTCAAAATGTTGTCAAACTACAAATGCCTGTGGCATCTTCAGTATATTGAGGATTATTTAAAGAGTAAACAACTGGATTACTAACTGTTAACAAATAGATTGGAGGAATTTATTTTAATCTGAAAAAATTGATTCGATGAATGATGATGATGATGATGATGATGATGATGATGATGATGATGATGATGATGATGATGATGATGATGATGATGATGATGATGATGATGATGATGATGATGATGATGATGATGATGATGATGATGATGATGATGATGATGATGATGATGATGATGATGATGATGATGATGATGATGATGATGATGATGATGATGATGATGATGATGATGATGATGATGATGATGATGATGATGATGATGATGATGATGATGATGATGATGATGATGATGATGATGATGATGATGATGATGATGATGATGATGATGATGATGATGATGATGATGATGATGATGATGATGATGATGATGATGATGATGATGATGATGATGATGATGATGATGATGATGATGATGATGATGATGATGATGATGATGATGATGATGATGATGATGATGATGATGATGATGATGATGATGATGATGATGATGATGATGATGATGATGATGATGATGATGATGATGATGATGATGATGATGATGATGATGATGATGATGATGATGATGATGATGATGATGATGATGATGATGATGATGATGATGATGATGATGATGATGATGATGATGATGATGATGATGATGATGATGATGATGATGATGATGATGATGATGATGATGATGATGATGATGATGATGATGATGATGATGATGATGATGATGATGATGATGATGATGATGATGATGATGATGATGATGATGATGATGATGATGATGATGATGATGATGATGATGATGATGATGATGATGATGATGATGATGATGATGATGATGATGATGATGATGATGATGATGATGATGATGATGATGATGATGATGATGATGATGATGATGATGATGATGATGATGATGATGATGATGATGATGATGATGATGATGATGATGATGATGATGATGATGATGATGATGATGATGATGATGATGATGATGATGATGATGATGATGATGATGATGATGATGATGATGATGATGATGATGATGATGATGATGATGATGATGATGATGATGATGATGATGATGATGATGATGATGATGATGATGATGATGATGATGATGATGATGATGATGATGATGATGATGATGATGATGATGATGATGATGATGATGATGATGATGATGATGATGATGATGATGATGATGATGATGATGATGATGATGATGATGATGATGATGATGATGATGATGATGATGATGATGATGATGATGATGATGATGATGATGATGATGATGATGATGATGATGATGATGATGATGATGATGATGATGATGATGATGATGATGATGATGATGATGATGATGATGATGATGATGATGATGATGATGATGATGATGATGATGATGATGATGATGATGATGCTGATGATGATGATGATGATGATGATGATGATGATGATGATGATGATGATGATGATGATGATGATGATGATGATGATGATGATGATGATGATGATGATGATGATGATGATGATGATGATGATGATGATGATGATGATGATGATGATGATGATGATGATGATGATGATGATGATGATGATGATGATGATGATGATGATGATGATGATGATGATGATGATGATGATGATGGTGATGATGATGATGATGATGATGATGATGATGATGATGATGATGATGATGATGATGATGATGATGATGATGATGATGATGATGATGATGATGATGATGATGATGATGATGATGATGATGATGATGATGATGATGATGATGATGATTATGATGATGATGATGATGATGATGATGATGATGATGATGATGATGATGATGATGATGATGATGATGATGATGATGATGATGATGATGATGATGATGATGATGATGATGATGATGATGATGATGATGATGATGATGATGATGATGATGATGATGATGATGATGATGATGATGATGATGATGATGATGATGATGATGATGATGATGATGATGATGATGATGATGATGATGATGATGATGATGATGATGATGATGATGATGATGATGATGATGATGATGATGATGATGATGATGATGATGATGATGATGATGATGATGATGATGATGATGATGATGATGATGATGATGATGATGATGATGATGATGATGATGATGATGATGATGATGATGATGATGATGATGATGATGATGATGATGATGATGATGATGATGATGATGATGATGATGATGATGATGATGATGATGATGATGATGATGATGATGATGATGATGATGATGATGATGATGATGATGATGATGATGATGATGATGATGATGATGATGATGATGATGATGATGATGATGATGATGATGATGATGATGATGATGATGATGATGATGATGATGATGATGATGATGATGATGATGATGATGATGATGATGATGATGATGATGATGATGATGATGATGATGATGATGATGATGATGATGATGATGATGATGATGATGATGATGATGATGATGATGATGATGATGATGATGATGATGATGATGATGATGATGATGATGATGATGATGATGATGATGATGATGATGATGATGATGATGATGATGATGATGATGATGATGATGATGATGATGATGATGATGATGATGATGATGATGATGATGATGATGATGATGATGATGATGATGATGATGATGATGATGATGATGATGATGATGATGATGATGATGATGATGATGATGATGATGATGATGATGATGATGATGATGATGATGATGATGATGATGATGATGATGATGATGATGATGATGATGATGATGATGATGATGATGATGATGATGATGATGATGATGATGATGATGATGATGATGATGATGATGATGATGATGATGATGATGATGATGATGATGATGATGATGATGATGATGATGATGATGATGATGATGATGATGATGATGATGATGATGATGATGATGATGATGATGATGATGATGATGATGATGATGATGATGATGATGATGATGATGATGATGATGATGATGATGATGATGATGATGATGATGATGATGATGATGATGATGATGATGATGATGATGATGATGATGATGATGATGATGATGATGATGCAACAATAAATAACATTCTGAAAGCACAAATACTGTTTATCATTTTGTTGAACTGAATACTTCATAAAAAATTTTCTTACCGTTTTCTTTAAAATTTAAATTACTGTAGTTCCTACTTCTTTAAAGTATCACGAGGATTATGATAGAAACGGTTAGTTAAATCAATTATTTTAAATCCTTATGATAACTGCGTATTCAATCCCATTGTTAATTCTCTAATGAATAAACAAAGAAGAGAGATATATTCCGGATTATAGATTGTATGGACTTTTTTACTAAGTTGTGCAAGTACATTATGCAGTTAATATATAAATTTAATCAAGGTAAAAAAGAAATATGATTTTCTGCTATTTTGCTGTACAATTTGAAATTAAGTAGCCTTTACGTCTGAATAGGCTACAAAGTAGTTTACAGTTGTTATGTAAGAAAATTCATCCTATATCTTAATAAGATAACAAAAGGTATGATTTATCCTCAAAAATCCTTTCTCATACATTTTATTCGTTAATCTTATTTTTATAATTAACGGTTAAGTTGTGAATATTATGAAACGTTACACGTTAAGATTAATAAGTTTTAAACCCTCAAAGTTAGGTCATAGAGGTAACTGAATTTCTAAAATTTGCACATCATTATCAAGCATATTTTTAACAAAATGTGTGAATGGTAACACTTAGACTAACAATTCTTACTAACCAGATTAATCTGCTCAAGTATAAGTGGAGTGAATAAATCTGATTTATTGCTAACACTATTTATATAAATCTGTAATTAAGGTCAATCATATATATATTTATGCATAAGCCACTTAACACCTACTTGAAGGGATGAACTCTAGCAGTTAAGTCTAAGCTGCAATTTTGATTACTTGAGATTCGCTTTTATTATCTTTCTAGGAAGTTAATATTAGAACGAAAATTCTCAGTCAGCTCAAGTTTTTCACCTATATTCTCTTATATTCTGTGAAGTGTCCTGATTTTTATAGTTCGTTATGTTCAAAAGAAAAGCTGCCATTCATATTTCGATACTGCTAGTATTTGCCAGTTTAGAAGATCAGTAACCTGAAGTAAAATGTCAGTATACAATTCCATTTATAGTTAATATTACACAGGTGTTAGAAGAGAGTGAGAGATTCCAGATACAAAACTGAAATCTAAATTTTTCTATTGAACACACTCAAAGATTTAAAAATCATAAATTACTCAAGTGCACAAATTACAGATATTATGGATGTAATATATTGAGCATCAAACACTGGATAGCATCGCATAGGTTACTATGTAACAACAAATCAATCTGTTTCAAACTTCTCCTGATACAAAACTTAATGTTTACTAGTTAGCTTATATAAAGTAAAAATGTTGATTTCTACTGTATTCCATAATGACAACTATAGTTCATTAATAAATGTCAGTCAGTAACAACATAGAACTTCGTACGTACGTATATCAGTTCGAGTTGCCACACCACATTAATACTCAGATACAATTGTCGATACAAATCCCATATTGGTACAGGTACTAAATGTATAAGCATTAATCGGAAAAATTAGGGTTTGAAAATGTTAATCAAGGAGTATAATCCAGTGACACAATAACAGCCAATGGTTAAACTTTCAACAACAAAAAACCAGTGCCATGTAGACGATAAGTGTAAATTAACTATTTTAATAATTCCATATATATATATATACATATAACTTTGATCAGTTAGAAGTTCTACACCATGATCAGTCACTAAGCAGTAGTGATAACCAGCAGAGAGTGTTGTTTCAATTATTCAAATGGTAAATTCAAAGTGGAAGATACTTACACTAAACTATACACTGAGTGATATCCAGTAATGATACATCGACAATTTAAATAGATTACCAACAATTTGTACATCAATACTGCTGGCACAATGGAAAAAGATTAATAATGTTCATAGATGCTATGAATACATTCCACTAATATGTATTTGAAAAGAAAAAAATACTATATCAGTGTGGGCTTTCTGTCAATTACTATGTCAGAATTGTACTACTGAAAAAGTTGTTTGTAGCATAAAATATTTAATCACTTTGCAAAACATATATAACCCCAAAATACTAATGCCACAGAACAGAGACAGTGAAAAACAGAGGTAGAATTTACTTTTTCATAGCATACATAACAATCAGTCAGTCATTGACAACGTAGAACTTCGTACGTACCTACATCAGTTCCATTTGCCATAACACATTAGCACTCACATACAATTGTCGATACAAATACCATAGTGGTACAGGTACTAAATGTATAAGCATTAATCGGAAAAATTAGGGTTTGAAGATGTTAGTCAAAGAGTATAATCCAGTGAAATGAATTTGGAAAGAAAATAATGGACATGAAGAATTCAGAAGATTAGAATTCGGGAGAATGCAAAGAGTGGATACACCTGCATCATTGCAAACGATTTTGAGCTATGTCATTTAAGGTCTCTAACAATCGGTTGCTATCATCTCGTATATCCCAACCAGGTAGCCTGTACCTACCAACATGGCTCAGTCCACTTGTCAGTGACTTCATGGATTTGTGCCATGGCTTGATCTAGCAACCCCTAGCTTTCTTCCAACCTACTCCTACACCATAAAGCATCGCACATCGAGGCAGTCGGTCGTTGGGCATACGTAACACATGTCCCAGCCATCTCAACTGATGAGGTTTCACTACTTCCTCAATTGACTTGCCATCCTTACCTATTACCCGTTTCCTAACAACTGCGTTACTTACTTGATGGTCCCAGGATATATGAGCAATGTTCCGAAAACACCTATGATCGAGTACTAGTAACCCACGAATATCCTCTACTCTTACCGGCCATGTTTCACTGCCATAAAGTAGGACGGGACGAACTGCTGCGCAGTAAACACGTCCTTTGGTTGGTAGATGGATATCTCACCTACGCCATAAATGACGCAAGTTGGTAAAAGCTAGTCCAGCCTTCTGTATCCGTGCTGACATTTCGTCACACACCAAACCACAAGGGCTGGTGAGACTTCCAAGATAAGTGAAGCGATCGACACGCTCAATTACTTCACTCCCTATCATTAGTTCGGGTGTCGATGCCACCCAATCCTGAAGCAACATTTTGCATTTCGAGGGGGAGAATCACATCCCGAACATGCTTGCATTGTTGCTTAGAGTGGTCAGAAGACTCTGCATTTTGTCGGCGTCTTCACCAAATAGAACCATGTCATTGGCATATTCTAAATCAACAAGTGAATCTCCCGGTAGAAATTCAACCCCTGGAAATTTTGGATGAGGAAAGTATTATCTCTAAAAGCATGTCAGCGACAAAGTTAAACAAGAATGGATTGGACAGCCCTGACGAACACCACTTGAGGTAATCAATTCTGATGACAATTCACCATAAGCTCTCACTGGGTCAGTTGTGGTCGAGTAGAGAACATGTATAAAGTTCACAACTCTTGTAGACTGTTTTAATCAATATGTAGCTTTTTAACAATAATAAAAAAATCATTTACTGACTTGGAAAACCACACAAATTTCTTTGTTATCAAGTAAATCAAACTGAATTTTATTTACCATTATAAAATTCGTGTTATTCTGTTAGTTTAAGGTTAAATGCCTTTTTTTAACGAATAAAAAACGTAGTTGGGCAAACAAATATTCCGACGATTATTTATCATGAATTTGACAATGTTCAGTATTAGTTTTATGATTATTTTCAAATCAGTTTATTACAATGAGAAACTAAGTGACCTCTTTATTATTTGATTCATTTACCCATATCAGATCCTATTACATTTAAATGTTATTGAGTTTAAGTCAAGTTCTAAGGTTTTGTATAATGACATTTAATGATGAATGAATACGTGAACACTTTCTAATAAATCATATACAGTAATTTTGGATGTTAATCACGAACTGATTTCACAAAATTTTCATATCCTACATTTTATATATTTGAAAGTAATGGATCTATAATGTCACTTGACATTACTATGAGAACTGTTCTTAGAATATCATTGATAGCAAATTGAAGGAATGACAAAGTTAACCTAATTCGTGAATTTATCTTTCTGGATATCAAGAAGTTAGTAATTTAATGATATACACTTATATTAAAAATTTCCTTAATAAATTTCTGTTCAACGTAGTATGTTGAGCATTTCAATTTAATTATAATCAGAGTAATAATGACTACAAAACAATGAGATGAATTTTCCAATTGAATAGGAGCAAATTCTTTGGAACAAGCCCTGTAATGCTTTGAATTTAAAGCATATAATATTTAATAAATATAACAAAATAAATTTACGTACTACATTTTCATATCGTACTGAGAGAGACCATAAGCTAACGTTAACTAAGTATATTATACAAGTAGATATATAGGAAATTAGGCCCATAGATTAGTGGATTAATACAAATATGAAGTAAGCTTTATAAACTTGAATGTATTTAACAAACAAATAATCAGTGGAGTTCAACCAGGTCTGTTGTGAGATAGTAACTCACTGATGACAATGGTGAATGTGTCGCTCAATTTCGTGGATTAGTTGAAGTTAGACATTAACACTGTTGGACGCCGGCTCAGTGGTCTAGAGGTTAAGTGCTGGCGCGCGAGACTGATAGGTTCTGGGTTCGAGTCCCGCGAGCAGCGTCTTGGATGCACACTGCTGAGGAAAGTTTGTTCAAAGAGCCAAGTTTCAACAGTTATTGAATAGTCCAATCCTGGATAGTAATGACAGAAAATATGGAAATCATTCAATAGATAATGCGCTTTTGGGAACTTTTGTTAGATATCAAATAAATACCATAAACTGTACGATCCAACTTTGAACACAGATTATGGATTAAGAATTGACTGTAATTAATGTAGTTTTGTCAACTTTAATAGGTATCAAAATGATTAACACATAATGACTGAATGAATCGAGTTGTGGGTCAAATTCTCAGATTATTTCATACACATAGTTCCCTTTATTATTTTAAAGAGAGCAAGAACAAAGGTTGATGCAGAATAATATGAATTCATTTTATTTCGTTAGGTTCTCATCAGCTGCTTACAACCTAAAATATTTGAAAATCAGGGTTATTACATATATTGACATACTTATACAACAGAGGTCGATGAAGGATGAATATATGTAACGTGATGTAGCAGAGATTTCGTTCGAGTTAATGAGGTCATAAAATTTTGTTTCGAATATATAGAGTTTGGGAGGGAAGGTTCCAGAAAATTGAAATAGTGATTAGAAATCATGGAATTAGAACACATTAGATTATTATGCAATGAAGTAACTGAAAATAGATTGATGTTAATAAAGAGAGATATGAACTGAAATTGGTCAGTTATGAATGATGTAATTATAAAATTCAGAAAGAGTTGAAATGACGTAATAAATAAAAAATAAAAAAGAGGGGGTAATGTTACCAGGGCAAAGATTATTATTATTATTAATCAAAATAAGTATCAGTAAACTAGGTTAGATGGAATAATTGTATAACTGAGAATAATATTAAACGTACGGTGAGATTACGTAATGCACGGATCGATTTTTACTGAAAGATAGAAAATGGAATGCACTTATACTCCTACACAGAGAAAAATAATTAAACCAGATAGATGTAAATTGAGTCAAATGTAGAGTGGGAGTAAATAAGCACATTTGGTTACCTTATGGTAAACACGATCGATCAGTTATGGAGACAATGTGGTTAACTTAATAGAAGAGTTTTCAAAAATCTAAGTAGCTATTTCTTGGGCTTTTAGTTCATTTGAACTAAGTGTGCTAAAATGGAACCTTCTTAAGCTAAGACTATAATTTTCGTCTGAAGATGGTATGATAGATATACTTTTGAATAACTTTACAGGAACTAAAAAGTGATTATTTTCTTATAAACACATACATTGAATTAGATTCAAATGTTTCCTATGAGATTATCCATTACCTATTGTCCACGGTTGATTTTCTTTCTTGATGCGGTTCATAAGTATTCTTTCAGCAAATTTATGAACTTTCATCCCTATGAAAGACAACCGATAGGAACTTTTCGTTTGTCCTTAAGGAAGGTGTGTCTCTCTTAATTAGGTTTCGCATTTAACTAGTATTTTGAGTCATTGATATATTACTGTTGCAAGTGAGAATTTAGTCAGTTTGGGTCGGCTTTCAATGTACTAAAAATCCCACTTCTCTTGTGCTGCTTCAGATCAGCCTAGACAATCGAAGATGTAAATGATTTGCCTTCAAAACTATTCTACCACCACTTTGCCTACTATTCCATCAAATTTTTAGTTGTTTTAAATAAATTTGGGTATTTTGTATGGTATGGTTTTGATCAGTCAGTCTAACAAAAATAGTATTCAAATGATCATATCTAATAATGGAGGCAAACATGGTTATAATCGTTAAGAATACTAGTATATTGTGTATGAATCGCATAAAATCTATAAAGCTAAATAAATACCACTTAGATCGTAAATTAGTCTTTGAATCCGAAAACGCTGAACGCAGGAAAGTATTTGATTTACACAATTTGATCCACCGTGAAACTGAAGGAGTACAAGCCCACAGCGTTTTACTTGAAGTTGTTCATTTTTTGTTATTTATCCTGTGTTTGATGAGTTTCTTTCAAGCTAGCTGCCTGAATTCTTAAACGAACTACTTATTATTGTTATCTTCAACGACATCCTCAGTCTTATTACGATGGTCAACCTCATCTATTTTTAGTATGATATGCCCTTTTATCAGCTCGGATTATTATTATTCATTATTTTCCAAAATTCTTAGTCATGTATAGTTTGCTACATCCGAGTTATTGTGGTTTGTCATAACTCATGTTGGGTTTCTCCATTTAATAATGACGCTTCTAATGAGGTACCTAATATACAAGATTCATTACGAATAGTATTGATACTTGTAATTCAATTTTATTTCTATCATTTTCACTTTGACAATCTGACGAAACAACCAGTAATCTAGCAAATTTCTCTGAAAAATTCACTCTCTTCACCACATTGATTCAGTTAATCTCTCTTTCTGTTTGTTTTTTTCTATTTTATTTCCCGACTATACTGTTTAGAGATTTCTATACTTGAATACATTTGACATTATTCTATTCAACTTCATAATTACAATTATCTGGTAATTTTTCATCATTTATGTAGTTTTCTTTTATGTTCATTAACGTATGTCCAACATTTTCGATAATAAAAGAGAAATGTATTTTTCTCAAAAAACAAAACGAAAAACGAAAATATCATTCTGAATAATTAATAACTTCACACTATATAATTTAATATCTAGTCACGTCATTGTTTACATTCAATAGAATATCAAAAATAAATAAAAATTCTCAAAGATGACTTAAGAATGTTTCTTGTTTTAAAATCATGAACTGGAGACAATTGAGAAATTATTGTACATTGAAATATTTATCATATTGTTTAACAACAGTTCATCTTCTCCTTACACACACACACACACAAACTTACATCATGTTGTGAAGAAAGAATAAAAATGAACTCAATATACACTTGTCGTCTCAACATGTATAGATTTATGTATATATGTATATGCACAACATATTAAGAGCAGTAGTTACCGGCATTAATTACACATTGCGTGAGATAAAGTAGAACTATTTCTTAAGGTATAAAAAATATACATCAATGAATAAAGTATAGATTAATTGATGTAAATGAATTCAATCATTATTGTCATCATAATTATCAAAGAAACAGTATGAATACAACTATACAATCAAAATTAGTAGTAAATAATGAATAAGATTTTTATGAAATGAATAAAGGAGACTTTATTTTTACAAAACACAATGACACAAAGGAATGAGGTTAGGAAAGACGAAAATTGGAAAAAGGAAATCAACGTGACTATAAAGTCAGTTATCATTAATAAAGTATTATCCTTAGTATTTTGTTAGCAATAGTAATGATAATAATAATAATAATAATATTGAAACATACTTATACTCCACTTAAAGATAAATTGATTGTTCAAGTATCAAAAGAAAGAACGAGTCTCTTCTTCGTTTTCATCGATGATAAAATGAAAATGGAGAAAAGTCGATAGGAAAAATAAGAATCAGTGTCGAATAAATCAAATTGACTGTTGAATAAATCTACTATCGACGATATATATTAAGATGATACATTTGTAGAATATGTTCCCATTGGTGGTTTATACAATCTTGGAAATGATAATAGCTGGAGACGACTGAACGCATATTTACGTTTACCAGTGTTTTTCATTATATTATCTAAACGTAGACCAGTGCTTCGAATACATTGAAGAGCTTTAGTAAAACAACTTTCATGCATACCTTCACTCTTGAAAAATATAAAAAAAGAAGTAGAAACAAGAGAAAATTTACGTCATTGAAATGAAACAAATCATGGTTGATACTATGAACAAACATGTCTTTATTATACACTACATATAATTGAAAAGCTATGCAACTGCAGATACTGTAGGATTAGTAACAATATCAGTCAGTTGTTCAAACAAAATTAATGATACAATACTTACAAGCTTGAAACCCTGGTTCCAAATTATAGGTTCGAATATGAACAGTCCTTACATACGGAAAAGATGAGTGCAAGACTAATTAGAAAACAATGTGTTTATTATAAATTGATGGATGATTTAAAATACAAATTCGCTGAAGATATCAGATGTATTTAACTGTTTAATGTACGAAACCTAAATGTAAAGCTTCACTTATCCTAATTTTGGTAACTAAAAGTTTAGTGAAACAGCATTTCTGACAAATAAGTTTATTGAAAAGATTTAACTTAACAATTCAAATTAGATCAGAAGATGAATGAATGAATGAATAATAATAATTTCACATATATTTTTTAATACTCAAATGAGTAGAACTAAGAAATCTGTCGAAGACGTTATTAATCAACCTATTCCATATTACACCATAAAAATAGGTACAAGCTAAATAAGATCATGACAATTATTCACCTGCATTTACATCAATACTGAACTAAAAATAGTTGAGCATAGACCCACATTTAACCCAACCGAAGTGATAAGACATGTTCGTATTTACTTAGTGATCTGTTTTAGTTAAAATTATTTATTCACTGAACAGTCGATTTAAACTAGGTCGCATATTGACTGACATTTTTCTCTCTAAACTGGAAAACGACGCACTAGCACAATACATTGACAAGCTTTCATTTTACTGCCGATATATGGACGATAGATTTATCCCTTGTAATGACTATATTTGATAGAAAAAACGCTTGAGCGACTCAATACAGTTCATCCGTTCATAAAATTCACATGTGAGGAAGAGAATGGAGATAGAATAGTCTTTCTAGATGTTCTACTTACAAGGAGAATAGATGGGTCATTAAGAAGAAACATAAACAAGAAAACTACTTGGACGGGCCAATATACAAATTCTCTTAGTTTTGTTCCTCTACAGTAAAAAAGGAACCTGGTTAAGACACTGTACCATAGAATCAAGACAATAAGCTCTCTAGATGCAGTCGAAGATGAAACAAAGGCATTGTACACGTCTCTGAATGGAAATGAATATCCGGAGAAATTTATAAATGAAAGCATAACCGTTAAAAGAGAGCATAAAGAATGTCTAACCGTGAACAAAACACCTCTGTACATACGCTTACAATTCAGAGGAGATGCACCTAGTGTAATTTTAAGACTGGAGTTACGCAGATCAATCCAAAGAACTTTTAATGCAAGTAAACTACAATTAATGTTTCCCACAAGTCTAATGATCACTCCGAGGCTGAAAGATAAATTGCCTGGACTAGTCACTTCTTTCTGTTTCTATCAATTCAGCTGTTCCAGTGGAGCAAGTTATATTAAAAGATGTTCTAGGAATTTGTATATTCCGGCACGTAAGCATTTCCGAAAATGTTTAAGCAAAGGTGTGGTTAAAACTGTTAACAGCTCCATTTTAGTCCATTTAATTCAGAGAGGACATACAGCCAACATGGGGCTATCTTTCGCAATAACAGCCAATGGTTAAACTTTCAACAACAAAAAACCAGTGCCATGTAGACGATAAGTGTAAATTAACTATTTTAATAATTCCATATATATATATATATAACTTTGATCAGTTAGAAGTTCTACACCATGATCAGTCACTAAGCAGTAGTGATAACCAGCAGAGAGTGTTGTTTCAATTATTCAAATGGTAAATTCAAAGTGGAAGATACTTACACTAAACTATACACTGAGTGATATCCAGTAATGATACATCGACAATTTAAATAGATTACCAACAATTTGTACATCAATACTGCTGGCACAATGGAAAAAGATTAATAATGTTCATAGATGCTATGAATACATTCCACTAATATGTATTTGAAAAGAAAAAAAATACTATATCAGTGTGGGCTTTCTGTCAATTACTATTTCAGAATTGTACTACTGAAAAAGTTGTTTGTAGCATAAAATATTTAATCACTTTGCAAAACATATATAACCCCAAAATACTAATGCCACAGAACAGAGACAGTGAAAAACAGAGGTAGAATTTACTTTTTCATAGCATACATAACAATCAGTCAGTCATTGACAACGTAGAACTTCGTACGTACCTACATCAGTTCCATTTGCCATAACACTTTAGCACTCACATACAATTGTCGATACAAATACCATAGTGGTACAGGTACTAAATGTATAAGCATTAATCGGAAAAATTAGGGTTTGAAGATGTTAGTCAAAGAGTATAATCCAGTGAAATGAATTTGGAAAGAAAATAATGGACATGAAGAATTCAGAAGATTAGAATTCGGGAGAACACAAAGAGTGGATACACCTGCATCATTGCAAACGATTTTGAGTCATAGGTTTTGAGCATAGACAACAACAACAATGAAAAACATTTAACAAATGATCATGAAATCTACTTTAAAAAATTAAATAAAGAGATCATCAGAACAACATCCTAAGTAAAGAAGGTGTTTAATATAAACTATAATGGATAGTATTCATCAACAAAAAAACAAATTCATTAATGAATATTTTCCAAATATAATAAATAATATTTCAACAAATCACGCTCTATATATAAAGAAAACTTGACCAGAAACTAATGCTACACACGCGATTACAATACAAAATGAACAGAAATATTATTCATAATGAAAATGAATTAATGAATTTTTAATTACATGAATAAAGCAAATTAAACAATACGCATAAACATATTAAACTGTAATAATTCCTGTTGAACTACCGGCATTCAACTTTTACTATGTAAAAACAATAACAAAAAAGACATAATGATTCTATATCTCATACATATCATGTGTAAGGTAATAATACGCATAGATAAGATAAATTAATAATAGAAACGCAATAACAGAATGAAATTAAAAAGGTATGAACGATGAACAAGAGAAAGGGATGAAAAATGAGATATACACATTGTTTTATTACCATAGTAACAGAACCAATTTTATAAATGAGAAAAAAGAATCACTTTTACATTTTTTAAAATTAATTATCTATTTGAATTTAACTTGTTGAGAGAAAAGGTAAACAAGCGAACATATACTTTTTGTTATTCCATTTCTTCGCTTAATAATAATTGTTTTTGCCTTATACTATACTAATTACAAAATTACTAAGGATAGCAGTAAGAGTAGGAGAAAAAACTTTTTTGTTTCAAAATAAAAGGCTATAAATAATTGAACAAGGTGTTTCTCAATAACAATGATAAAAACACAAACATACATAAGTACATACACAGATATGATAAGTATTCCTAGTAATGTTCTGTTTAATTCCAAAATATCACCAGACCAATTAATAGTGAATTATAGAAATTAAGAGTTAAATTACGACTGTGTTCTTATTCTACAGTACTTAATATTTAAGAGCAAACCACGAATGAACAATGTAACATAAAAAGTTTCACATAGTTCAATATACAATCAAATAAAGAGAGATAGATTGTGTTTTGTTTAAGGCAAGTAATTACATCAAAAATTGACGATGACAACGAATGAATTCAATGATAAAAAAAAGTGCTGAAAATGATTCTTTTTTAGAAAAAACTGAGGAAAAGGTTACTCATGATAAGTAGTAATAGTTACTAACAAACACAATAAAATTAACACACAGACATCATACGAAATTAGAAGGAGAGAAGGAGATGGGAACGAAAAAGGAAGTGATATTTTCTTTGAAAATGAGATATTTCCTGGAATGAGGGATTATTATTACTAGTATTATTATTAATGTACAAGAAAAATATAGATTATCAATGACTATGTTGTTGAACAATTTTGTTTATAGTTGTGCACACAAAAATATAAAAACATTAGCAGAAAACGAATACAAGTGTTTACAGAAAAGAAAAGCGGAAAAGTATCTTCGCGTTTCCATAAAGAAAAAACGGAAGACAACATTCAAGTAAATTTATCTGTTTCATATAATATAATCACCGAAATTCATAATCTAAATATGTACGTAAGAATGTATTTAGAATCACCACAAAAAAACTAAGAGTACTTAAGAAATAAAAAGATTATTTTAAACCTTATGACAGAAAAGACAACACTTCTTACCATATATTGATATTTGAAAATACAGGAAGAAACAATATTGGCTGTTTTTGATGAATGCTAAGTGTTGAAAATAACTAATCTATGATCGAAATTAAAAACATGAAATTCATCCTCAATGATGAATAACACAGGAAATTCTTGTTCTTAAGTAAGATTATTAGTTCATCTTGTTTTTATAATCGCTAAACAATCATGATCACTAAATATCGTTGTATCTTTCCTTGCTAAGGTACACGAATTCATACAAGGATTTATTAAAAATAACGAACGTGAATATTACTATAACACAAAAAAAAGAATAGTTACTCAAGTTTCAACTAATACAGGACAGGTATGAGCACCGTATCAATTGTATTTGGTTGAGATAACTGGATAGTAATATTATCCATCATATAACTAAAGTCGAGTACATAAACTTATAATTAGTGAGTTTCATCATAATACTTTAGCAGAAAATTGAATGTTTAATTAGTGGAACAGCTTTAACTAATTAGAAAACAAATTGAATTATTATAGATGATTAAAAGTTCATATTATAAGGAGAATAAATGAAGTTTATAACAAAACTATAGTCAAATCGTAAATGTATACTATAATATCAGTCACTTATGGGAATGTTATATGCACAAATACAATTTACTAGGAAGAAATCAAATGTAGGATCATGTGTTGATCTTATGTGTGATTTCCTTTTATTTGACTTGGGTATTAATTTAATGGGATATTCCTTCAATGTGACGATTTATTTTTAACTAATAATTACTAGATATAAATCCGTATAAAACTAAATAAATCCAAATGATGAATAAATGCCTACCATCCCTACTAAAAATTCTTTCTTATAATATAACCTGTCCAAGTATAAGAGGTTAGAAAAAAAAGTAACTGTTGTAACCTGGATGTCGAACCGTAATTAAGAATTAACATCATTATCCGTTATGGAACTCTAAAATATGGTTTATAGCAAAGTATACAACTAAACATATAATAACATCATTTTGACACAAATTACTACAATTATTAAATATACATGGTAGACATAATGAATCATCAAAATAAAAGAATGATAATGTAGAAATAGAAGAATAAGAAATCCATACTAAGAAGAAATGGACAATAGAAAGATGAAACTCTGCTTTATATAATCAAACAACCATTTATAGTTTACTCATTTAATTCACTCTTAAATCAGATGATATCGGTATATCATATTAATTGGTAGTTTAATAATTTTATAGTAAACAAACTAGCCAAGTTATAATCAATCATAAAAATCTAATAACCTCATTCAATGCTGGTGAAAATAACTTTGTTTTTAAACAGTCAAAGATTAAATATAATCTGTTCGGTAATTCTACATTACAAGATGGAGGAGTTTTGTGCTAATGATAATATTTCATCTTGTCACATATATACAGTATTAATATGTCATAAATATAACATCACTGAAGAGAATAACAGACATAAAATACAATAGATATAAAATTACTTTCAACCATTGAATTTGTTCCAAAGTAACAGACATAGCTGTACGATCTTTAGCTGATTTACAAGTTGTTATTCGTAAACCATGAAATGCTTGAGTAATTTCTGATGCTAACTGTAACACTTCAACTGGTTTTGAACGAACAGGTGTAGAAAGATGATGTGTAATATCTGTGAGTAAATCCCAGACATCTTGATTTGAAACAGTTCGACCTAATTTTCAAAAACAAAAAGTATGGAAAAAATAGTGAAATGTGAGGTTGTAGCAGTTAGCATTGTTATGCATTTACATGATTTGTTTTAACACGTGAGGAGGAAAATTATTTCAATATTTCCATTTATTCTGTCACCCATATATTCGCCTTTGTCAGCTACTCACGTTTAACCTTGACCACATTAATGCATGTATGTGTATGTCTACCCACTTCCTGTATTTTTCACATGACTTATAAAAATGGAATCACCTTGTTATTCTTTGAATCAGTATATAATCGAACTCTAATGTTCTATACACTTGCTGAATATTGTTTGAGTTTGTTTGTTGTTCAATGCTGACATGTCTGAAATAAGCCTACCGTAAATACAATACGTATTTGACTATTGATATGCTGCTGTTTTAAACGTTTTGAGTAGACAGGTTACATACAAAGTCAAGTAAAAAATATGCCTCATTCATATCAATATCATTCAATCATTTTTGGAGTCAATCACGGGCACTATAGTGTTGAGCTCAGTTTGACAGCACTACATGATAATATCATTCAGTAAGTGTTGTTGCTTCAAGTAAACTCAGTGAATCAACGACAAAACCCAAGTTTTCAGATAAAACGATAACATATTCTGAACTAGTTAGTTACAGTTTACGTACACATAGTATCTTGAAGAGTATTTACAGAATCACTATGTTTACTGATGTTTTATAAAGTACATAGATAAATCTAATTATAGTTAAAAATGTATTACCACAAGGATAGTTTTCTTACCTACCTAACAACGAGATTTAAACTTGACATAAATAGTTTCGAATCTAAAACTATCATTTACCAAAGTATGAGGCTAAAGTTATGATACTAATATTTAACTTAAAACACGGAAACGAAATTAATTGAAAAAAAAACTAAACAGATTAGAACAATTTTTCTTCTTTTCACATCATAGAATTACTAAATGAGAACAAAATATTATCTAAACGTGTGAATAAATCAAATACTAAATGAACATACAATCTAGAGTTATTAATCCTGTGATTAGAGTAATCAAATTATTAAACTGAAAAGATTATTTTTCCAACTGAATTATCTACAATTGGTATATTGTGTTTTGATGTATTAAATAGATTTCATAGGATTTCAATTATACTTATAACATTTTAATGAAAAGTGAACAATTTCTTTGTCTACGACAAATATAATGATGGAAACACGCTTCATTAAATAAAAATAATAAATATTATTGATGAAGAATTGAAATCATGTGAAACCATTGTTAAGAGAATAAGTTATTTCGTTTTGTAGAATAAAGAAGAAAAAAAAGAATTGAGACACGAATAATTTGTTAGCAAGAGAGAGAAAAAACAAATTAGAATGTTTACAAGATAAATAAAGAACTACCCGACAACATCAACAACTTCTAATCAAAGTTTGAAGAAAAAAAATCATCTAAACATTGAACAACAAAAAAACTTGGTAAAAAAATTTTTTGGGGAAAATTTAGCTTTTCGTTTATTAGAATAAAAATTATTGATGAACAATACAGGATTTGATTATAACGAACTATAAGAAAGACTTCAATTCATATAGCGTGGAGTGTGTAAGAAAAAATAACATTTTGAAGAGAGTGTAAGTCACAAACTGATTCAAAATAGAAAACCACTGATACACAGGGAGAACTGGGTAGTGATTTCATTTTAGTTTGGAACTCCTCAGTAGCGCACACATTCACAAACTCTCTCTCTCTCTCTCTCTATATATATATATATATATAGAGAGAGAGAGAGAGTTCTAAATAGAACGAAACGCTCATCCTGGATTCCACAGCTAATCATCATCCATCTCTGCTTACAATATTTGTGGCTTGATGATAATATCGAAACCATCCGCAGAGGATGTACATATACCATCAATAGGAAGCCCCAAACAAATGATCGTCATGATTTTACAAATTTTTCGGTTTCATATTTATTTATAATCAACTATGAACATTTCTTTTGACAAAATGAAAATTATTAGCTGCAATAACGTGTGACTTTAATATAATTCAATAATCGTAATGACAATTAATCGGTAAATGTATGCTACGCATGAGATTTAAAAATCAAATCTAAAGCCCATAGATTTTTACACTACTTCATATTAAATATTAAACGTTAAAGAATATAAATAAAGCAAGAAGAACAACCCTTACAGAATAAAATGGTTTCATTATAATTCAAGGCTTCTTCTCATCAGCTACAAACGGCCTAAATTTACAAAGGAAATATTATGATAAAAATGTTATAAGCTTCCTTGAAGCTTAATGGTTTTCAGTTTATAACACTAGATGCTCCGTAAATCAATCAACCAAAAGTAGATCAATATCGTTTTGAGGTCCCGTCCAAATGCATTTACGAATTTACATGTACTTATGAAAGTAAGTACATAGGAAGGACTGAAAGAAGGGCATCCTACAAGGTCTTCAGGACATATTCCCCGTAAGTTGTGCATAAAAGAAAGTAAAGGTTTCGCAAGTACGATTTTTTAAATTTTAATGGGCGGTGGACACAACATGGATTACTCAAAAGCGTTCAAAATAATTAACAGGTAACGTACACTACTTTTACTCTGTTTTACAGAGGCCATTGCCACCAAGCGCATTCGATCTGACTTTTGCATGTAGAAACAAAGTGTGGTAAACCTACCATTGCCACAGTAAGATAGTTATATTATTTTAACGCTTGTCGGTTACATTATCTCTCTAATATAGTGAAAAAAATCCCACTGACATTCAATCAAGACGTTAACTTTAATTTTATGTTAGATAAATGCCTTGATTTGTTAACGATTTGCTTTTATTCATTGTCTCATTGTTACTTAAAACTTTTCCCACTTCTCTGCACTCTATGATTTCATCTTCAACAATATAAATACTCATCAATCTTAGCTATTTTGTTAAATATGTTGTTTCTTCATGTTTCTTAAGTCCTTTCGAACTGAACTTCATGGATTATGGTATGTAATAACACTTATATAATAATATTTCTATTGAAATTGTGGGCCATTGGAGCTAATGAGAAACTCTGAAATACAATGAATTCATTTTATTCTGCGAATATTTTTTCTTGCTTTGTTTAAATTTATTCAGCGATCAGGATGTATGAAATTAACGAATATATTTATGAACAACTAAAAATGATAATACAACAGTGAATAGTCGACATTCAGAGAGAAATACTCTTTCGAACACACAACATACATATATATACTCTGTTTCTAATTAGTTAACAATTTATTTCCAAAACTAGAGCAATACATGGATGCAGTACACGTATTCATTGAAAACATTCCGTTTTAAATTTTAAGGGAAAAAGTGGTTATGGCGTCAGAGAGAAAACGAGTTAGGCTACAACTGAAAATATTCCCCTACAAAGCAAGATCAATAAAAGGTTAGCTGTCACAACAAAATATAAAAACCATATATTTATTTCTACTTATAACCAACTAGTGCGCCATAATAATTAATCTTTTCCATTTATTCTCAGATAAACATTGATAATATTTCTATGTTTTTTTATTCTCATTATTGTTATCAATAATACAAATTTCCATTTGGTATGTTTTATATTACCCACATATTATATTAAAAACCTACTTCATTATCAACACAAACGATTCCCCAAAATGATTATATAAACATGTATATAATTTTAAAAATTATTACGATTCTACTCTAATCTATCCATATATACTTGAATCCTCCTACGCGTAATGATTTAATGGATGTAATCTGAAGATGAAGAACAAAAATTTACTTGTACTATTTAAACCTGACGACTAACGGAACGTCAGAAAATTTAGAACCTTAATTTTTCCACTCATTATGAATTACAAATACATTATTTTTATTAACTACTAGCAAGTAGTTCAAATTTTAATACAAATGTTTTGGGATTGATTTCAAGTTGCAGATGAAATCAAATATCTTTTAAAAATGAAGGATTTCTATTAGTTTATTCTCAATTTCTGTGCCATCGTATTTATATTTACCTATAGTTTACATTCAATATGAATAAATGTTACACGTTTTATTCATTCCAATCTGTATGGTTTTTAAATTATTAATCTAAGCACTGTGTTCAAAATTTCAACGTATTTCTATCACTTTTATCTACATAATTTGATGAATAGAAAACTAAAAGTGGTCACATTTTAGTAAACCGGATATATATATATATATCACACTTATAGCTTTAAAAATTAACTGGATTGAAAACCAAATTATTCGTTGAAGTTACAGTATAACTTCAATAATTTACAAGTAATAAGCATGAAATATCTCATCGACTGTCATATCATGATAAAAAATAATAGTCATAAAGGTAATAAATCATATAACATTACATAAATAACTGATGAATATTTCTCTATCTATGGCACTTCCACAACAAAAAATGACATTGAAAGGACCCCTATTAAATAACTGAAGATTATTCATATGGTTTTCTAAAAAAAATTGAGGTGAAAGGTCAGCTACTGCACAGTAATAGCTAACATGTTTTTAAACTACATATATTTTGATTACCTGTAAAATATGCTAATTAATGTTAAACTAATAAGTTATATAAAAGAAATTTTATATCTGACCTGGAGCGCCAAAATGTTTTGTATATCGATTGAAATAAGCGCGTAAAGATGTTAAGCCATGATTGTTTACCGCGTTTTGCACAGCAGTTTTATCTAAACTTGAACAAAAAAACAATCGTAAAACAAATAAAGAATCTATGTACAGACCGATGTATTACATATATGGTGTTTAACACTTAAATTGCATATTTTCAGGACTGAATTGATTCCGTTCTACTGAGTTTCATGGCTTTTTGAACGGATGATTATACAGCACGAATCTTAATTATTTTATTTATTTCAACATATAAATATTGGTATAAAGGGGCACCGAATACATATGCAACACACAAGCCACTTGATTTGTGATTGGGCTGTGATACACCATGAATTTGTTATCATCAAAGAAAAATATGCAATCAGCAAACAAATAAGGACAATATAAAACGTTCATTCAAAGGACACAAAATAACAAAACGGATGGTTTCTTTTCTACCTAGGAAACTATAAATAAGACAGTAAAATAATTACTAAGGACCGTAATAATAGTATACCAGTTGAACAAGTAGTGTCTGTAGAGAATCAGTAGTCTTGAAGAAAAACGCTGAAATTGAGGTAGATGCATAGTAGGCTTAAGCCAGAATGCTACCAAAAACACGCTTACATACAGCTAGTAAATTCAAAATAAAATAACATAAATCTTGGACATCACTGTGACCTACCGTCAAATATCAATCCATATATTACACAATATTATAGAAAACAATACAATTTAAAAAAGTATCAATCACCTGTGAGATCACATCTAAATTACTAGGTAAAATCTATTTTCCCAAGAATTAGTTTATTTATTAATGTGCATAGGATCCAATTAGAAGTTACATGCTATGCCAAAGTTATCAACAAAGTTTATTTTCAAAAGTTAGCTACAATAACACCATTAAGATCTACACCTCAGGCACATACTCCCCAAATCATAATGACCGATACAATATAAATTAATTGTAATGAAAGATCAATCTAGACTAGTCAATAATTTTAACTTTTAAAGTAATTAAGTAAACGTGTGCAGGTCTATGAAGTCGACTTTGAACCACAAGATTTGGTTGCATGAAAGCTACTGATACAAACCTGGGGTCGAAACTGTTGTAGACAGAGGTTTTGAGCCTGTAACCTATTGATTGAAAGACTAGTCCTTCAACCAAAGGGTCACCACTGTAGTTACATTATACATTTAGTAAAGTTATCAGATTCCCAGAAACACTCTGGAGATTACAGTAAATATTAAAACACCCACTGAACAATTACTATTGTATCTCCAACTTTACATGGTAGTTGAAAAAAAGATACAACCAAAACGTAGCATAAAAATATCACAAGTCGTCATAAACCTATCACAATTAAATTTGTGTAAGAATTAAATACGAATTTCGATAATGAAACACTAAATTAATTTTATATTGAAATGTCTGAAAAGTTTTGGGATCTAAAATACCGTATATCGAAAAATAAAACAAGCAGAAAATAAAGAAAAAATGAATTAGGCTACACCTACGTTTCAGCAACTGATTGTAGTTCATTGATTCCGACTACAAATGAAACAGGATGTAAACGAATTCGTACACGACCACGAGCTTGAATTTCCGAAGGTGCATGAACCCATGATTTCCAAGGAACAGTAAGCTGAAAAAAAATGAAAAGATGGTGAAAAAACGAACAGACAGTAAGTAATTTTACGACCAAAATAACACTTGCAAAGCTTAATGGAATCACAAATTAATGATAGATGTGTATCATTTCATTTTGAAATATAATAGTAATGTCAAAAACTAATCACATACAAATATATGTATACGATTTTATCAATTAGACGCTCAACTATTTTATGCCATCAACTAATCTGAGGTTGATCCTTCTTCAAAAATAAAATCAATATGAACTAGTAGTGAACCAAAATTATGTGATAAATAAAAATAATATATTTGTAATATCCCAATGAGTAGAAAATTGGATTTTCTGACGTTTCGTGACTTAGTGTAAGTCACTTCTTCAGAGAATAAATAACCGAATTAAAATTAATTCTCTGAAGAAGTGACTTGCACTAAGTCACGAAACGTCAGAAAATCCAATTTTCTACTCATTGGGATATTACAAATATATTATTTTAATTTATAACAATCAACCCAATGCTCAATTTATTCGAAATTATCAAATCAAACCTTGGTAATGACACCTACAAAATTATGTGAGTTACTTAAATCACTGGCGAACTAGGTGGATACTTACAAAACTCCGAACTACCATGTGGCACAATTTATTACCTTATTTAACCAGAAAAAAGAGGGTGGAAACTAACTCAACAAAGAAAATTTACCTCATTCCTTAGGCGGTAAACGATCTATTACGGTATAAGACTACAAATAATAATAATCATTTTAACCTGTCAGTTATTAGTAAGTACAAGAATATTAAATAATATTGAAATTCAATAACGGATGGCAAAATAAACTTAGACGTTGACTAAAGTCAAAACGTTACATTTGTAATACATAGGATCATCAAAAATCAGTTAGAGTACCTCGCATTCGTTCAATCTTGTGACTTTGAAATCCACATGAAATTCTTCAGTATCAGAGCGATTCGAGGTAGGAACGTTCGAGTCCGTATCCTCGGAATTTCTTCCACTCGTATCAATTACGGACTCAGAGAAGTTACCAGATGGACGAAGTGTAACACGATACGTCAACAAATAATCAATTGCCCATGCCCAATCCTCAATCATTCCTTGTTCGTCGCCATAACAACTTAGAAGGCCTTCAAACTGAGCTAGGACACCACATACAGCAGCTTGTTCCCAATCTTTGCGATCCCACCGGGGTATATGCACTGACAACGCCGTAAGAACTGCGGTTAATAGCTACATTTCTCAGGAAAATAAACGCGACTATGTGAGTATTATTAAATACGTTGAAAAAAATGGGAAAAAATTCATGGTTAACAACACACATATTCAGACGACATCTAACTCCGAAAGCATTTGCAATTAAACTAAATATCAGATGAAACAATCCTGCAAGCGAAATCCGATTGAGAAAAAGACAAATGGACATAAGAGTAAATAATAGCTTCCATCAAACACTGGGCGACTGGACATTAATAACTAGCTAGTATAACCATTTATAATCAGTCTAATGGATATATTTTCAATGTTTTGACATACATTCAGTGAAAATAAGGCAACAATAGATCAAAATAGTCTGTGAAATTCCGGTAAAAAAACATACATATAACAGATTAAAAGAAACCACTGCGTTTGATAAAATATTTCATTAATTAAACATCATTAGCGATGAAAAAGTGTTGATTGGAGAAATACGTTGGTTGGTATATATCTATACTTTCATCAGATACCTAATACGCTTACAGTAAAACTTTCAATATCCAAAGAGATGTTATTGATAAAATGAAAAGACTATGCATTCGAAGTTGTACATAGTAAAACGTGTTCTTAGATTGAAAATAAAATAAACTGAGTTCTAGTTCTCCCAGAGTAAGCTTTGATAATAAACTCAACAACAAATTTCTAACAAGAGATTATATTTATTATTTATTTATTTATTTTAACACATAGATATTGGTACAAGGAGGCACCAAATACATATGCGCCACACAAGTCTCATTTGATTTGTGTGAGGGCTGTGATACTGCTCGGGTGCCCAAACAGAAGCAGGTGGTATTTTTTACCCGGAGCCTTCTACCTAAGGGTATGATCCACAAGGCAGTGGACCATCGTAAAGAGATGCAGTCTAATGGTAGTCGGCGACCAACGATTGGTTCATACGCCATTTGTTCCCTCAGAATACTGGAGCCCATGTGCACCCTCGGTTTGGAATCAGGGTTTTCCAACTCCCCTAAGTGTACTCTCCAAGTCCACCAACCCGGTTAAAGCCCCGGACATTCGCTTTTCGTCCTCTCAATTTCGTAAACAATACCCCCGCCACGAGAAGGCAGTGAATAGGACTTCCCTGGCTTAGGCTATACACGCGTAGCCATGTGAGAGCATTTCGAGAGGGAGAGCAAACTCTCCCGCCTCTCGGTCGTACCAGGACATTTGAGATTACTTCTAAACAGTAGAACTTATTTATTTTATACTATCCAATGCTCTATCTATATTTATCCAGATAAAGTAGCTAGTGAATTATTAGGAGAAATCAGCTGACCAACTTGAGTATAAATTCAATCTTTTAGGATTTACGCAGTATAGAAAGAATGTTTTCAACATTAAACTGATTCACCCCTAGAAATAAACATATTTTAGTACATAATAAATCCTACCATAGAATAACTAAATTGTATCTCTCAAGTTATAGCTTTCATGAAAAATAATAGAGGACAGAACTGAGTTAATTACTAAAGTACACAAATCAAATAATGTTACTGGATAATCTACCTGACAAACACATGCATGATGTCGATAACTGAACGAATCTTGAATAATTGAAACAGCAGTAAGTACATTATCATTTATTGGTAACATATTAGGATAAGCGGAACGTTCTGCTTCAGCAATTAAATCAGAATAATTACCACTACCTTCTTTACTAACAGAAAGAGTTTGTTGATTTGATAAATCTGCAAGACCTGACAAGACATGATCCCATAGCACTGATGCTGCACTTTCCCATATACGTTCCAAAGTAACAGATAATTTTTGACCAGCTTTATCTAAAGAATCTATTAAATTTTCACGAGACTCATTTTTCTTTTTATTTATAATTATTACATGATCATTGGGTTGTGATGGTCTACATTTGAATAAAATAAAAAACAATGATAAAATGTTCCTTTTTGTGAAGAAAAGAATGTCGAATCAGGATAGAAACTAATATAATCAAGAATTTATAATTCAATGTTACTAAAACTAATTGGAAAGACTGTCGTTCAAGTTATTTGTAGTGTTAAAAAGGATAAGTCAAGATTAATCAAAACGAATTAATATATTAATTGGCGATAAATTGTTGACAGTGAAAATTGTCATGCATTTTCAAACGAAGATGAAAGATAGAGAGATTAATAAATCTAACGAGCTTTCAGTTAGACTGAAATCAGATTGAGTGTTTACCTGAAATATCACTAACATAACATTACTAAGAATGATATTTAACTACAAAAGCTGAATAGTTGATTTTGAATCAATAAACTTTTTATAGAGTTGCGAACATTGAACATGAAAAAGACACGGATTATGTGAAAATACAAATGTGTTTGTTACAAGTTGGAGCTAGAATATAACATTTGCATCCAGTACGTCAAAGGTGGTGAAACTCTAAAGCAAAAATCAACGTTCAAGAAACTCAGTAGCATTTACACAAAGACAAATGCAACGCGCGCTGTATTCAAAATAGCTCCTTTAATCCAAAACAGCTATATATCTTTCCTGGAAATAACTTTTAGTCAACTGAGAAATGACATCATTAATGCTGAATATAGTTAACGTACTGATGGCCAGATTACAAGCACTATAATGCGCAAATTCATCAGTGCTGAAAATCTATCAGTCAAGGAATTTAGTATGATTTTTAGTTTCAATGTAATGACTTTCATCGATTGGTGGCTAAATAAACCTTATGAGAAGAACAAGTAAATCAAGGGATGCCGACGTAATCTTGCTTCGTACTTCTGATAGAATTTTTTTTCTACAAAAATCCTGTTATAGTAGCTACCTGGAGAGCAGCAACAAGAAGCATCAAACTCTACGTAAAAAATTGCCCTTTCTAACTGTACGACATCTGTGTGATATACGTGCAATATATATAACCAACAGTTCATCTTTGTAATGAGGCATTCATATGACGTGCCACCTTTCACGTAGTACATATTAGTTTTAATCCCAATAATCGTGTTTTTATGCACCAATAGTTTGTGTTATACCGTTTCTACAACAAAAATTTCGTTATGACGTGTTGATCAAACTGGGAAATTGTTTACTGTAGTGGATATCGTAACATTTGTAAGTATTTGAACTTGCCTATAACTTATGGTTATTGTAAAGAAAATATTATTATTATTACAATGATTGACTTTACAATACACTGAATTCTTATATTAAACCTTTTACTAAATAATAAACAATTACAATTATTGTAATCAATAATTAATAAAATACAACATTAAAAATGATTATTTGTGAAATGGAAATAAAAACTAAAAGAAATTGTTAATATAACAATAAATTAAATCTCACTGAGAATTTGTTGATTTCATTATTTCCACTGATGATAATTGTGTAAGTAAAGTGATAATCACTTCGAAATCACATGAAACAACTGGTAAAACATTTAAGTTAGATAATAATTTATCTGAAAATATCCACTGTATAGAAGATACCTATAAAGCGAAATAAAGGAATTAATTTATTTAAATAAACTGAAACTAAAATCACTTGTTTAATGATAATTAATTCTATTAAAGTTTATAATCACCTCAAAGCATTTATAACAGCATATTCATTTATTTAAACACCAAATATAAATACGCCACATAAATCATTGGATATGCATGAGGGATGGAATACTGTACGGGCACCCAAACCGAAGCAGGTGGTTTTATTAGGAGGCCATTAACCGAGCCTATGACCTAGAGGTCTAATCCACAAGGCAGTGGAGCGACGTTAGAAAATGCAGTTCAATAGTAGCCGGTGACCAACAATAGGTTCATACGCCTTTTGTTGCATCAAAAACCTAGAGCCTATGTGCACCATTGGTTTGGAACTAGGGTTTTCAAACTCCCCTAGGTGAGTCCTCCATATCCACCAACCCGATTAAAGCGCCAAACATACGCTTTTTGTCCTCTAAATTTCGTAAACACCCCCTGCTGCGAGGTGGTGATCATCACATGATCACAATAAATAACATTTGCGTGTATCACATTGGTGCAAAATTGAGCATATTGACCGAATATTTTTTAGAAATTATTATTTTACATAATCATACCGATATATTTTTTAGCTGAAAAATGCACAACATGACTACGTGTATTGAACTTCTTTATACATATTAAAATAAAGCCTCTAGGAAATGAAAGAGCATTCAGCGAAGAATAATTTTTATTCGACGCAATCATTTACTCAAGCTGTATATTCATATTTATAGTTGTTTGATAAATATATGTCTGTAAAAAGATAGAAAAGATTACATCATAAAGTGATTCGAGATTTTAAATATTAAGTGAAGTTGTGTAAAAATCAGGGGGTCAGATAAGAATATAATGATGAAAAGAATTTACGGGTCAAAACTATGAAAGATAATTGTCCGCTTGACATACATGAAGAAAAACGGAAACCATAAAGGTCATAATAGTAACTGAGTAATAATCATGGAAAATTGTTAAAGGATAATAATAAGTGATTACGGTTGAAATTACAAGATAGTAATTTAAAAAATAAACGAAGCATACTACAGAAGGGAATTAGCGCCAAGGAAGGATGAGCGGTTGGACGTATCGTTTTTGCGCGCAGAGTCCAGGCTTGGAGTGGGGGATCACCAATGCCTCAGTAGTGCATACGTTTTTGATCCGACCTTACTTCGACCCAGTTCCTTCGATTATGTGGATTATTTTAAAGGAAGACTCCTTTGGAGCGACGTGTCCAGAGTTGATTAGGTGCTCCTGTATTGAACTGGTGACTGTTTCGCATTCTCCTTTGAAAAGCCACGTCGGGTATTGTTCTGAAATCAGTTTGGGAAGTGACCAATTTGACCTATCCAACAAGAGTAAGTACATTTATAAACGCATATTGATGTGACCTAAGATAGGATTTTATCCGTGGATGGTAGGCCGGTCTGAATGTACGAATGTACAGCTTAAGTAAATGATTTCGTCGAAAACATTTTATTCGCTGAGTTTTCCTTATTTCTATTCAATGGCACAATGGGTTATTTTGAGAAAAGGTTTACTTCATTGAATGTACAGACAAACATATTCAAAAATATTTTTTTGAATGAACATTATTAATAACGTACAGTTTTTTGCAAACGTTGAGCTAATGGTTCAGCCTGTCCAGGTGCGTTTAATCTTTGAATAAGACCAGCTAAATCAGATCTTAATAAAGCAATAGAATGTGTTCCACGATATAATAAATCCATAGCTTTACCAATTGGTTTTGTATTTAAAAGACATGTAGCAGAAGCTACGGGTGATTCCGATGATAGATTTAAATAAGATAACTCTGAAGGTGGATATGTACGTGTCGGTGTAATCATAGTATCGAATGCCATTCGAAATAAACCACCAGATTTATAACGTCGAGAAGCCAATGAAAATGCACCAACAGATATTATATTATGCGAGGAAACTGAATTTTTTAAAGAAAAGAAAGAAACAGACAAATGAAGACGAAATCAGAATGGAAAATTTCGAATAAATTGGACATTTGGAAAAACCAAGAAATCTTTATGTTTATAAAATCTGACATATAAGTAGGCTGATTTGTCGTTCGACTATAAAAATAACATACAAAATAAGTTGTGGCATAACATGACAATGAAAGACGGAAAAATTGATAAAACGAGGACAGAAATGGGGTAATAACTAACTGAAATGAAAATCTAAACATGAGAAATATCATATACAGGGAACGAATGAAATCAGAAAAAGGAAAATCACAGAATGTGTCAACTCTATATTCACAGTAAAGTAAAAAAACGAGTGTAATTGACACTATTTTAGTCATATCACTGAAACAGTGATTTATACTCTAGAGCCTAATTCGTAAGGCGCATATATATCTGGTGCCCCCTTGTACCAATATTTATGTATTCAAATAAATAAATTCTAAAATAATATATTAACGTTAAAATTTATGAGCAATCGTCAGTAAAACATTCACTTTCGTACACTAAAAGTTATTGAGGGAATAAGTCTATAATCTGACTGATTAATTAACGTTGCCAACTAATAAATAGCAAACAACACATTTATACTTTTAGTGAATTTCTCGTTCAAAACAGACGCATTCTAGGTCTAATTCCACAGTGTATCTCTGTTATAATTTCTCTTATTGCTTAGTAGTTTTGGACACTTCACTCGACAAGTCCCCAAATCTGAACACAGTTGAACAGGAACGAAATTATATTCCAAATAGCAAGGGTAGATGGAACTAGGAATCACAATAAGAGAAATGTTAGTATATTTACAGTTTTTGCGTAAGAAGATTCTAAAATCTTCTCCAAGTGTCCACTAGTGCTGATTGGGTAAGAAATAACCAATCAGTGTGCTACACCTTAAACCTGTATGGAAATACTTTAATTAAATCTATATTCATGTGTTCACTAACTCATTACTTTGTTTTACTTCTGAGATAATGTACAACTGCGTGGGTTTCTAAACTTAAAAAATAAACACTAGTTCCAATAAGAATAATTTAGTTCATAATAAATAATATTAATTGCTCTATAGATAAAGATCACGTTATGAATAACACAACTACATAATAAACAATAATAATTCTTTTTTTCACACAATTACCTAAAATATTTTCTACCTTCAGGAGAATAGCACACTAATTAACTATGGTAAGATACAGTCAATGTATTAATTTACAGTTCAATGTATAACATCGAAAATTTCCAACTATTGATCAACCTCATAGATCTAATCTACAATTATCCATATGACTTAAGCTAACATTCAATAATTAAGAGAAACTTATTTTATTTCGGTGAACATCTCAAACAGCATATATCAGTATTACTGGAATTCAACGAGTTATCTTCTCTTTCCACAATTAAGCAAACGTTCTAAGATATTTTTTTCTTTAAAAACTAATTACACAAAAATCAAGGTCTATTACATTTATCATAACTGACCACTGAAATTGAGAAAACACCCAGATTGAATTTTAAGAAGAAAATATCATTACTACCACTTAATGTTGTGTAATAATCTACAACGATGTTTACATCCCAACAAAATAGTAACTCAGAAATTATAACAATTAAAATAAATCTACATCTACTGATCAAGTATAAATGACATACTGAATTTATAATGAATACAGTACTTACTTGTTTATTTGTGAATAATCAACTTAATGACTCATTTCTATTATTATTTATAATATGAATTAATTCATTAACAAATGTAGATCCATTGCATCAAGAAATATATTTTAAACCCTAACTATTCTAAGAAACCTAATGATAATGTTCATGAGTTCAGGTGCTGAAAACAAATTGAGTCCATCATTTAATGATTGACAGTTAAATATTAAAATCCTGCTGAATTATATCATTATGCCTAGCATAATAAACAACTATTTATTAAGCTAAAAATAAGAAAAATGAATAAACAAAATAGTTTCAACTTCAAATATCATATAGTCTTACTCATTATACAGTTAGTCAATATTCCTGATCCTAATAAATATAAACAGATTCAAAAAATATAGATATATATATATAAAACCCGGGAACTAATGTGTATTAATTGAAGTCATCACTCCTGAAAATTACCCAAGCACTTTCTGGAAAAGGTGAATACTCAGTAGTTTGAGCAGCTTCAGAATTTTCGAATATTGATATGCTAATAAAGTACCCATCATACGATCAGACTAGTTAGTTCCGGTTTTACTTCCGAATAAATATCAAAGAAGTGAAATACATCCATGATAACTTATAATTCCATTACAGATTTTATGCTAGAAAAGTGACTGATCTGAGTGCTTCATCCATTTCTTATATATAACATAATTTTACTTTCAGACCAGAAGTCACCTGAATTATATGATGCAGATCTACACAGTTGATCGAAGAACTGAAGTTAAACAAAATCAGAGATTTCTATCACTAGTTTTTCCGTTGAAGATTTATTGTTCTGTCTACAATACTCACTTGCCCAATATATGTTTATGTACTCAAATTTCAGTGGTATCTTAACTGCGTGAGGGGTAGTGGTACTAAGGGAACGCCCAAACCGAATTAGGTGGAGTGGAGTTCGAGCCCATGAAATAACAGTTGAATGTATTCGCTTTAAGACCCCCATCCTATCCACTCAACATTATTGAATAATGTAGTAACATTCTGTAGGGATCCAAAATATTGCTTAAAACCTATGGAATCAGTGTTTAGGCTAAATTCAATATGTTAATAACATCTGTGACACAAATCTACACTGACTAGAATGTTTTCTCTGCCTTTTAAATCAGGTAAGAAGGTCAAAATCAAATTTAACAGTGTTAAATTATCGAAACCTTCAGGATGAAACTGAATTCCACTTTGTTTCAATCAGCGTATGATTTCTGTTCAGCTACCAATAAATGAAGAATTTGCCTTTCAATAGCAGACGTGATTATCAATTGTGTCTATTACGATAATAGCTAATTTCCAAGAACAGATGAAAACAAAACTAATCGGTACAAAGAATCACATCACAGTAGAAATACCAGTTTTAATATTATTTTTCTCATGTGATACATTATAAACTAAAAAATAACAGTAACATACTCTTCAGCCTTACCTAGTTGGCCGTCTACATCCGTTAAAGCTATCTGATTCACGTGAAGATTGGTCGGAACAAAATCATAGCGAGGATTAGCACGTTCATTAGATGATTTGAATAGAGGACCTACAGCATCAGTAAAGTTTTTTGCAAATCAAACAATTTTTTTTGAAAACATAATTTATAAAAAGTAAATCTATACGAATATGTTGTAGTGCTTGAATTGAAATAACTTTTTAACAATAATTATATACTGGTTTACGTTATACTAGTTGATTTCAACTCAGCTGTCAAAACTGATCTAAGATAAAACAAATGGAAAGTTGAATGTGAAATATGTACGGTATTGTTAATAAAAAGAGGATTATTGAAAAGTGGAATATGTTTAGTGAGTACCAGAAAATTCAGACTCAACATTTTTTAGCAGTTATGATTTACATCTAATGGTGCTCAAACAATCAAGGCATAAGTACAAACAGACACTAGAGAAAAAGAATATCTCAATCAATCATCCAGCCATACACAACGTAGAACCTGCCACATGTGCACATCGGTACAAGATGTCATATCCCATTAGCACAAGATGAAATTATCAAGAAAAATCCTTGAGTAGTGAATACAGCAAAAGTATTAGAGGTAGTAGAAAGTACTAGACATCGGATCTAAGATTCGAGAAAATATGGAATAGTAGTTACGGCAATCACACGGACGCTGCATCCACCTACATGGTTCAATAAACAACAAGTGTCTTTGTGGGCTGATGTGATGTGGTAGAAGTACTAATTACTTAATAGTGATTTTGGATGACATGGTACTGATAACTTGGTTGATAAGTTTATGACCTATCATTAACTGAGATATTTACGACACATGTTACGCAAGCTCGGCCAAAGGTTACCTCAGGGCTTCTGGTTGGTTAAAACAAGAATACAGACCAAACAAAAGCACCGATCCACAAAATTGCTGAGTCTTATATGAATCAGAGGTGGATAAGCGCTAGTCGGGATTTGTGATCTGCCGTAGCATACATGGTGAGGCCATAAAAAGCAGCTCGGAGACGACTTTACAGATTCCCTTTTCTTCTAGGTCATGAATATAGTACTATTTCGTACATTTCCACTTAAATTCACTTTTTTTTCGAATTTTTTTAAGATTTAGTTCCCTACTATTATCAACAGTTCATTTTCCAGGTTAGATCTATTCAGAAATCAAAATTTTATTGTTCAAAGTCGCTTGTATGCAAATAATAAGCCAGTAGGGATAATTGAGACACAATTACTACTAATGTGATAAGCAAGAATGATTAATAATTTGATTATTCGTTTAATAGAAATATACACCAATTTCTAGAAGATAATTTATATGAAAAAGTGGTAATCCTTAACAACGATGCACTCAAATGGTAGAAAGAAAATCATATTATTCTTAAAATTACATACAACTGCAGAAATCCGATTTATCTATATCTAGCTAATAAAAAATAACAGATACAATCCTGAAGCCTTTTTGTTCAATAGACTGTGTTGCGCAGTCTTTACACCATCACATGTGGATACGAACTTCCACTGTGTAAAACATCATTGGAAAACCTAGATAATTAATTGCATTATGGTTGTTTAACTAGCGAATATTTAGCTAAGTCACCGAGGATATGTATACGAAAAAAACATACAATACATCCAGATACACTCATTGTATCCTACTGGTATATTGAATATTTTATTACGCTATGCTAGTCAATAACCTGCATACTTATATTGTTTTTTAGTCTATATTTCGATACCTTTCTTCTATTGGGAAAAATAGCCCCAGACTACACCAATGTATGTTTTCACTGAATTTCGTTTGGCTCAGTCAATCAGTTAGTGGAGTGAAGTTTAAATCCGTTGTTAACAATAAAGACAAAGCAATAACCTGAGATGTGTGTTTCGTGTCCAAAACATTTGATTTTTAACCTTTGGACGGTGAATTCGAACCTAACTTCACTAAATATAGTTTAATCAGCTGGATATCACTACTAGCTCTTACACACACAACACATCTAGACATAAATAAAGTGGACGCTTAGGAAATAAAGTATAGTCGACTTATTCAGATATATTCACTCTAAAATGGATTAGTCAAAGGAAATCAAAGGAAAATTAATCTGTTAGCAATTTTCATGACACCGCCAACTAAAAGTATGCTACCTCCAGCAAAAACTGATAGTATTTTCACTGTGTTTCGTTGCTAAAAAATAACAGACTGAATTAAACAACAACAAGGCAAAACCCAGCAAAACAATATACACTCTTCTGTCAATACAAAACAGTTAATCAAAATACATGAATGCCTATTTAAAACCAGGAGTAAATGTGAATACATATAGTCGTTCCAATGTATATATATATATATATATATATATATATATATATATATATAGCACACACCAGTGTAATCAACTAAATTTCTTAAATTAGCTTCATACTGTTCCAATGTTTGTTTCATGCTAATCATTCGTTCTTTTCGCAGGCTTTCAATAACAGGTTTCGACTGGCAAAAAAATAACAGTGAAAAAAAGTGAAGGTAACTTTTTGACAAAGAGAAGAAATACAGAAATAAACTTTTATCATAAAAAACAATTAGTATCTTTCCTACGATCCAGTATTTAAGGTTGCTTTTTGGTCGGCTTTCATTTTTGTTGCCCAGAACAATGAAAGCTTTACAATGAAACAACATCCAATTTACAGAAATACAGCATCACTAGAAGTATCGACCAGAACTAAAATTCGTAACAACAAGGATTGAATTACGACAAAACTTATACGAAAAAACAGCTGTAAGTTGGAAAACACTGGAATTTCTGAATAATTTTTGGAGAGAAAGCACTTCTTAGCCTAGATATCCTTGGGTCTCATGTTATGACAAAGTTGTTGTCCAGAAAGCAGGATATAAAACACGTCTTGCTTTGATCATTTATTTATCTCTAATAAGTTCTTTCCTGACTCGATGTGACTTATGATCCGAACAGATATTGTAAAAGTTGGAAATGATTTTCCGAATTATTAATTATAATTTTGCTATATAAGTTACTAAATTACTATGCATATATATTCCTTTTATCATAAGCATTCGACTAACCTACAAAGTACTGTTGTACAACCTAATATTCCTTATTTGTTGCCAGTCTATTATTTGCAATCTCTCCTGCCCATAACCACTTTATGCTTCTTTATGTATAACCGTTGTTTTTCTATTTTATAGTATGATTCAGTCCGGTATGTTTGTATGTAAAATACGTGTTTTTAAAATATAAATCTAGTATAGAACAGGTTGACTGTTGACTTCTGGACCCAAAGACAGGCCATGATAAAAAATTGCGGATAGTAAGCCGGTAGGAGCCTAGCTGTTGACTCAGATTATTAGTGCTGGTCGGACGAGTAATTGGCCACGACAGAGACACCAAGCCATTGAGTAATGGTAGACGCGAAATCGATCAAATTAAAATCGAGAATCTGATTGATGATTTAGCACATTATTTTGGTTAGTCGTCTATAAGACACAACAATTTACATAATATCTGACCTTATAATAATGATTACATGACTTACAAATCCACATTACGAAAAATACATACGAAGTTCAAAGTAGATTGATTTATATCAAAATGTGATATAACCGTGATATAAACGAATACAAAAATGGTAAAATACTGCCTAGATTTATAAACAAAAAAAACAACATGATATTTATCTTCCACGAACTATATTATTTTCTGTCATCAAAGTTTACCATACATCTTGAATGTGAGTGTTTTCCTTGCTTTACCAAAATTAAAGAATGATATATAGAAACTAATGACGCACATTTTAAACCCCAAATTTAAAACGAAACTTACAGATCCAGTTCGAGATAAAGAGTCATACATCAAATATTCGGACTGAATTAAAGTTTTTCTATAAAAAATATAAAAAAGAATATTAATGTAAATATATTCTAAATACCTTTGATTTTTACACTAAATTCTAGAAAAGCACAGACATTCATATTGAAATTATCTTTGTGCATAACCTATGCTATAACACTTGTACAGAATGGTAGGTTACCAAAGTCTTATCTAAATCAGAGCAAACTCGCGAATAGAAATTGCAATATATGACAAGATTACTTTTAAACATTTGTGTACAACATGATAATGTAACACGGGCTCACATTATGAAAGAATGTTAGCTGACATTGCGTTTTGAATCGATATCTTCATCTTGATTGGCTCGGTTTTATAATATAGTTACAACATAATCATCACAATACTATTCACTACTAGATTACAGTTATGCACATGTACGTATTCTGCCTATAGGAAAATAGTTGATTAATACTTTAGTTCTACAAAGCTTATAACCAATCTTAGCTTGCTAATAACGTTGAAAATGTCGCTCAACTATCCAGTAATAACTATCAATTGATTTTATCTAAATAATATATCGAAAATTATATAGATAGTTTTGATCAAGTCAAAGATCTCGGCTTCCTACAATACCTAGAATAAACGAACCTTCTTCATAAAAGAACTAATTGCAAACTGTGAAGACATTAAAAATTATTTCATTTCATCAAATTTTAATTTTCTGCGTAAAAATACAAGTGGATAAAAGAGTAGTTTTAAACTTAGAAATTTAAGTTGCCTTTTGGGGAGAATCCACTTTATTAATAGCTATATATAGAAAGCGTATTACATCATTATTTATGTATATATATTTTTAACTTCAGTACCATGCCTTATCCCTCCGAAATAGACTGAAGTTAAATTATCAAAGCTATAGATTATAATTAACGACATAAGTGATAAACATTTGTAGTAACCTGTCTTGGTCATAAATATTAGGTTATATTTCCAAAAAAACAATACTATAAGTCTTGATTCCATAACTCTTAATGGAAACAATGATGAAATTAAATCTCTCTGATCATTAATAGTAGCATATTTTCAGAATGACCATCTATAACTATTTATGCATTGTCTAATCAATAAAAGTAAATCATTAAGAAAAAGGGTCAAATAACTGACCTCTTCATTACATATTTTGACCATAACAAATTGACAGTGTTGAGTGAAACAAAAGCAACAAACGATACTAGTAATTTAAACTTACAGATATTCTATCGGAAAAGCATAGCATAGCCTTGATTCGCCCATAAATTCAATAATATGCATTGTCTCACCCATTGAATCTTGGAATTTATATCGTTTAGACAATAGATTATCACATACTGAACGTAATGACAACATATTAGCATCAACCTAGAATAATCAAACATACGATTAATTCACAATACAAAATTCAGAATATTCATGACAGTAATATAATAGAGTGACCATGTACATATCGGTTTAATAAACTGTCAAAAAATAAGTTCTGTCAAGCAAACGACACCATCAACACAAGATCAAAATAATTAATTAAAGTTATGAAACAATCGGAAAATTTTTAATTGAGATCCATGAAATACGTGATGGTATATTGCATATGGTATGAAATCGACAGATAATATATATATATACTAGACATTCCAACACCACAAACCAATTTGTTTCTTATTTGCTTATATTAATAGATGGATCAGCATTGTGTTCTCCCAAATTCTAATTTTCTGAATTTTTCATGTCCCTTTTTCCTCTTTCCAAATTTATTTCACTGGATTATACTCTTTAAGTAACATCTCCAAACCCTAATCTTCCCGATTACTGCATATACTCTTATTACCTCTACCACTACGGGATTTGAATCGACAACTGTATCTCTGTGCTAACGTGGTGTGGCAACTTGAACTGATGTACGTACGTACGAAGTTCTACGCTGTTACTGACTGACTGGATTGGCATTGAAATATGTTACAAACAACGATAATAAACCAATCACCGAAAATAGAGGCACAGTGAATAAAACACTTGTATTTTTTAACCATTAAGTTGCATATTTAAACCATGCTGTATATGGGCACCTAAGTAGTCCTACCTATTCGTACACAGAAAAAGATGAACATCAACCATAGTATAAGATAATAATTATTATTCTTTAATTTGACTAGACAGCAATTGATTTTAATTAACAAAATAATTTTTTGTAGAGATACATGAAAGGAAACAATATAGTGTAAACACTAAATGAAATACAAAACATATAATTTACAATGAATAGTTGATTATCAATGTTAATAATAAAAAAATAATGTCTATATAATCACATCAGTTAAGAATCACTAAGGTGTAATTTTTGTTAGTTTAACACTTCAAATTTTAATAGATTGACAAATACAACAGTTGAAATCATGAGTCAATTGAAGCTAGACTACCATGGAAAACCTGGAAACACTAGACGGTCGTTTCGTCCTAGTATGGGACTCAGTAGAGTGCATCCGAAATCCCAGCCCCCGCGAGATTCAAACCCACAACCTATCAGTCTCGCGCGCGAGCGCCCACTCACTGAAGACAATGGCGTACGGTGACGTAATGTCGTGGATTGGTTGAGGTTAAACATTAACACCGTTGGATGCCAGTTCAGTGGTCTGAAGGTTAAGCGCTTGCACGGGAGACTTATGGGTCCTGGGTCCGAATCTCGCGGTGGGTGGGATCGTGGATGTGCACTGCTGAGGAGTCCCATACTAGGACGAGACGGTCGTCCAGTGCTTCCAGGTTTTCCATGGTGGTCTAGCTTCAATTGGCTCATGATTTCAGCTATTGTAATTCCTTGAGGTTTAGATGGTGGTTGGAGGTAGTCAACAGGAAACCCTGGACCCAGGTTTCGTGCTACTTGGCACTTGTCAGCAAGGTGTACCTGTAATCTCGAGGGAACTGGTGCTCCCTGGCGGATTCGATCTCGTGTCACCCAGCTTCACAGTCAGAGACGTTACCACTGAGCTATCCGAGCCGCGACTGACCACCATCTAAATCTCAATATATAGTGCCCGCAGTGTCGAGTCACCTAGACTGGTGGCCACATTGCAACATGATCGATAGCATTCGATCTGCACTAATAAGGACTAGACAAGCATGACATTGATCACCACCCAGTGATCAATCAATTGTGATTATTGTAATTCCTAAAATCTCCACAAAACCCCTTCAGATTGACAAATAATTAATTCGACTAAGACTTTCTATGGCTTAGGATTATGCGACAATTTCTTATTCTTTCTATACAATGTAAAATTGTTTCTCTTCCCTTTGTTATCTTTTTTTACTTGAACTTTCATTTAATTGACCTTTATTAGTTTTCATATAAAATGTCCCGACAAATATATGTATGACCAGATTGTTCGAAGTATATAGCGCAAATATATCACATTTTTCAGATCAACCCCGTCTTCTCATTGTTCTATCGAAATTTATAAAAGAAACCAATTGCTTTAAGACTTAAAAGTTGCGTAGAACATGTGATTGATAAATCGATTTATAAAATATTAACTAAATATTATTATAAATAATAAACGTGAGAATTCCATATTACTATCAAGTGCTAACAACTGATATATTCAGAAATTTTGACGTCTACACTAGATATACTGATAGTAAATGAATAACATTTGCGTGATGATTGTACTTTTATATTGAAAAAAGGACGATCTGATTAGATACTTAAAAGTATCAAAATACTATCAAATTATCTTGGAAACTTACTGAACGCGGAAAAAGCATTTCATTATGTTAACAAGTAGTAGCACATATAGAATAAATGAATTGAAAAAGAGAACATTTGTGCAAATAAAATAAAGAAACCAGCTAAAACAATTTCGCTTATTGTTTTACTTGTATCTTCCCATTGTTATTTAGGACTGCAATTGATCAGTCTTGCGTTGGCATATATGCATCCTGTGCGGATCGCCTCGATATAGCCTTAAGTCACAAGTTTTTTAAACAAAGATGGATAATGGCTAGCAATGAAAACAACAGTAAAACAACACCAAGTGAATTTAAACTCCACCTCATTGCACAAGCAGGTGGCTAACAGGAATCAGTAGCTAAGTGGATAATGCGATAGTGTTTGAAGCGAACGGCACTGGGTTCGAGTCCCGGAGTGAACACCAACTCTGGGATGCAGGTACATCCAGCTGACGAGTCCCAAATAGGACGAAACACGCGTCCTGGATTCCACTGCTAGCCGCTATCCATCTTTGCTTAAAAACCACCTAGAACAAGTTTAAAAACATTCAGTGAATTAATTTTTAATTTTCCAACACAAAATTCAAAATATCCTTCATTGTAACATTGGGATAGAGACTATATAATCACAACTCATTACTCAACACAATATGTTTAGTATATAAATCAGTAAATAAATACACTCGATTGTAACTCATTCGAGTGTATGCCCGTCTTAACAGTTCATACACAAAAAAAAATCAAAAATCACATTATTATTTTCAGAGTACTTCAGTAGACAACAGAATAAAAGAAACAGTGCATGAAAAGAGATAATATCATGCATTACCTTAGCTGCCGTGGGATCTAATGGCTTTTGTTTCCTTGATTGCACAACTATTGATGGAAAAGTCGTCTCTAAACCCTCATACTTCACAGGTATTGGAGAACAATCATCACGTAATGGGAACAGAAGAGATGAACTATCCAATAATACTTTTATTGTTGTAATTGTTTCACCGATTAAAGCGCTCTAAATAAAATCCGAAAATTCGAAGAAAAAGTAGTTAAAATCTTTTTAGTGATTAAGTCCAAATAATAAACAACCAATCTAATTAGAAAAAATAGATTAATACAACTCAAAGTAGAATAACATTTAAGTAGCTATATCAAAATTTAAAACTGAATTTCACTGGAAGGACAATCATTGTAAGTCTAGTAACATATTACATAATGAAATCAATTCGCATTTATCACAGTAAAGTGTTGTGTATAGTCTTTCATATTTCCTTTACGTATTATGGATGTCACTTATCTATAAAGTTAGTTGTTTGCTATGTAACATAAACTTCTCACAATGAAGACGATAAAATGTAGACAATATGAAATAATGTATACTATTGACAATGGTTAGATAAGTGAAATAAAAAATAAAATCACAATAACACGTTTACAAGTATTCAATTTGAGCATTCCCAACAAATCTGTAGTAATCAGTATAAGATTGTGGAGATTGTTGAGTTCTTAATTGAGATCATCGACCGATAAATGTTAGACCACCATTGAAATTCTGGAAGCACTGGCTTTCAATGGTGGTCTAACATTAATCAGTTCATGATCCCAATTAAAATTCTGTGGTAAATATTTGCATAAAATGAAAAGACTAACTAACTTACTACACTTGATTTTACATCTTTAATATCAAATAAACTGAATCGTATTGAATTGTTCTCATCAATTAAATCGTGGCGTAGAAATATTGTTTTCGAAAAAATTGGGTTCCGAGAGCACTAAATATGCAATGACAACAACAACACAATAATTATTATTTTGAAAAAACGGTTTTATAACTAAAATGAAGCATTAACATTAAACAATAATGTGGCACTATTAACCTATGTTACCATGGAAATTTTTATCTGTATAACTAACAGTCTTTTGTATAGGTAAATGAAGGATTGGTTTGGTATAGTATGGTGAGGTCAATGAATTAAATTTAGGTACTTCTAGAGATAATCATTTTGAGAAGTAAAAACCTCTTAAGCTCTTACATATTATCTAAAATAATAGAACCAACGGCTGGGAAATGGTGATGTTAAGAGAAATTTATCCTACTGAAATAAATGTTACGAATATGTACTAACTGTATTAACTAAAATACATCTAACCATTATCTACTAAACTATGTGATATCAACTCGTGTATGAGTAAGTATAGACAAAAAACAAACTTAACCGGATCAAGAAACAGGGATCAATTAAAAAAGTCAAAAATTCAGATACCGAAATGGTTAGGTACTCATGGATATTTCAAACAACAATTATCTAATAAAAAGATCAATAAACTTGGAAATAACAAGGCAAATTACATCACAATTTTTTTAAAGTGAAAAGTTGTCAGTAGGGAAAATTATTTGTCAAAAATCTCTCTCATGTGACCATTTTTTACTTAATTCACTAACGTCAATTAATGAACTTGTTACAAGTAAACATTTGTTGGACATTATTGCGATTATTTTACTTTGAAAAGTTCTATCAAACTAGGAACATCCAGCTTATTCCATAAGAAATTTCCATCCAAAATCAAAAAGAAAAAAGTACAAAACAGAGAGTAAGTAAACACATATGTATACGGCGATTTTATATTTAAACCAATAGCTGAGACATCAATAAGAGAAAGGGGTTGTTAAATTTCAGTTTTCTAATTATTTCAGCGTGACAATAAGAGAAATAATTAACTAGGTTCCATAAAACACATGGCCAAAATCGATATTCTAATATTGACATAGTCTTAATAATATGAATTATTAATTTGAAGTGAAGATATTTACCAATACATATATTTCTATCACATTTATTTTTTCTGGATTTAAAACAATACTCTTTAAATATCATTAGTAAACTAATCAACCTAACGAGATATCACTTACAGAATCCATAGGAATTCTTAAGGAATACACAGTTGCCACCTTTTAAAATTTTATTACAACATAAATGTGACATAAGTTGCTTGCTTGATCCTTCTGTAACCTCTAGATTGACAAGTATTTGCATTTAAGTTGTTCTAATTTTTAGAAGATACGAAAAAAATAAGGAAAAATAAGGAAATGGGGAAATAAATTGACATATTCCATCAATTTATCGCGGTTCATTACCAGGATAGTGACTTGTATAAACTAGACATCATTGATGAAATATTTGATGAGAACATACAAGCTTATTACACCAAGATGTGATTTTTAGTACTAAATTATCCCTAAACTTTAATACCACTTTAATACGACTGACGAAATCACATGAAATACACTGAAGATTATATGAAAAATACAGAATAAGAATCAGACCATTTTTGTCTGATAAGTCTAATATTTTTCGTTGGAAATCTATCAATTTGATTTTAAGTATAATATCCCGCAAATCACAGTCATTTGGAACAGGAATATTGGATAGATTACCAGCATTTCAAAACGTTTAATAACTTTTAATTAGATTGCCATGTATCTAAGTTCATTGGCATACCTATATATCAACTAACTACTATTAAAGACTCAAAAATTGTCAAGTTTCAATAAAAATATGTGATGTAGGTTCCCTTTGGATGGTAAACACTAGATTTGCCTTTTAGATGATTCCCATTTTCACTTTTGATTACCTGCCCAGTATACTTTATTTAAGCTTTCTTTATTTAGGCAAAGGCTTATACACTACTTTTGCATATATCATGGAGAGTTATTAATATGTTTAGCGAAGAATTATTTAGCCAGTTACCTTAGTACACAAACTCACTGATCAATCATCACAATGGTTTACTAGTTTATAGCACGGATGTGACACTGCTAACGAAGATGAAATACGATACTAATGGTCTATACGCAATGTTCGTAATGATCTGACGGAAAGTCTGATCAAACTCGAAGATAAAATAAAAGCACTCAGATGGCAATCAAAAACGAATTATCTTAACAAAAAACAAACTGGTTTATGAATACTAAAATTCACTTTTTAATCATTTTACAGCTATTTTCATAAAATCCAGTTTGATCAACAAACAAGACTCCTACTTGTTTTTTCACTTACATGTAAAGTAAAAAAATTAAGACAAAACGTAATAGGAAGTTACTAATCGAACAAATTACTTCAATTATCTCAGTTGCCCCAACTGGAGTCCAATTACTCTTCAGTGAAGTTGATACAGAAACAAATAGACAAGTATTAGGAAGCTCATTAGGATGTGCCATATATCCAATATTCAGGCATTCTAAAATTGAACATAATCACAAGGTACTTTTTTAGTAAAAACAATACAGATCAGCAACAAAGCAAGATTAGATATGGAATATGAACACTTTTTCCATAATGAGAAATCAACAAACTTTAAGTTTTCCAAACTAATGTAGGATATGAGAGCTAGAGTACATAAATATCTGTTAATTTAAAAATTGATCGAAACATTTTCAACAACTCCACGCATTCAAGTAAGTCTCGGAATAGAAGTCAGTGTCGACCCTTCTGTAACTTTCTTTTACTTTCTTCATAAAAGTAAGAGTAAATTCTTTAACTCAAAGAACCCCTTCTGGTTGTATTTTTCTTAAATGAGTCCCCATAACAATCTGGTTCAAGCTTTTTCATGGAAATATCAGTATATATATACTATGGCGGTAGCTTCGCACCATTGTTCTATCGACCTGGCGCATATACGAATTATCCGAACCTGCGGTTCTTCTCGTGCTGGAGAAGAGGCTACATCGAAGCACGGCAAGACTTCCGGGGCTCAATAGTTGTTTTTGCGGTTGTTCGTCCTTGGTTTTACTTCCTGTCTGGTGATTGCTGACCACCTATGTACTACATAGCAATGATTGATTATTCCTTTCTCAGTTGTTAGGGTCTATTTACAGCCGGAACATGGATATTTATTCAGGTTATTTAGGGAGTTTTTTATTTATTGGAGTTTTAATTTCCATTATAGGTTGATTGTATTCGGGATGACAAGGTAGGATATGTTTATTAAGCCAGCCCAATGTCTTATAAGTCTTGTTATAGTTAGTTAGAGGACAGTTGTAAAGCGCTTCAATATTAGGTCTATTTTGATGGTCGTTTCTGTAATGCCTATTCATTTCTTTAATTGTAGCAAACTTTCTATTGCAAATTTCATTTTGATACATGTGATTAAGTCGGTATTTTCCCATTATCTTAGAAAAATATTCCTGGTATGCATAAATTTTAACCTTGCTGGGCTGGTTTATCTAGTTTTTAGGTAGTCGTTCGCCCATTTCCTCAATGCCTTGATGTAGTTGTCTTAACCAATCTTTAGTATGGGCTTTTATATTTTTGCATGGATTTTTAAAGTTGCAATTTGAAGACCTCATCATTAGATTATTTGGTCTTTTATGTGCAGTATACCATAGATTTAGTCTCGTTTGCATGATTTTATTGGCTGTTAGGCAAGTTTATTTTAAGTTTAAGTTGTTTGATAGTAAATTATTTTCTATCGACTATACCTAAGAACATTCGTCTTACTGTGTAGAGAACCGTTTCTAATCTAGTCCAGTCTCGTTTTCTTGGTGCTATGGATTCTAGTCCTTAAGTAAGAATGAGTTTAATTAGAGAATCCACCAGTTTGACTTTAGTATTAAGACTAAGTTCTTTAGATTTAAGCACTAGTCTAGTCTTAATTACCTCAGTTTTAGCTTTTTCTACGTTATAGGTTATAGCGTTATTTGGGGTTCCCTTGTTAATTATAGTGGAGCCAAGGTAATGGAAGGTTTCTACTTTCTATATCTCTTTTTTGTCCATACTGACAGTTGATAAGCTGTCCTTCTTATTTATTATCATAACTTTCGTTTCGGAGATTGATATCTTCATACCAATGCTAGTTAGGTGCTGTTGTAGGTTGTTTAATGCTTTAGTAGCCTCTTCCATAGTATTAGTGATTAGACACAAGTCATCAGCATATTCTAAGTGTTTAATTATCTAAGTCCTATTATGCTGATCTTCTAGAGTTATCCCTTTTGAAGTTTTATCTATAGTTTGTTCTAATATATTTTAAAAGACTAAGTTGAAGATAGCGGGACCTTCTTTACTGCCCTGACTGACTCCCCTATACATTGACAAAATTATGTGTTCCTTAGATAACCCTTAGGGTTATCTAGTAGTCTAGCCATACGGGAGTTTATATTGTTAGATGGGCATGTTTTAGCTAATGTGTCTAAGATTCATCATTTAGGTATGGTGTCGAAAGCTTTAGTTAAGTCCATAAAGGTTAGAAATATGGTACGGTTTGTATTTAAAGCAGTTTGGATTATTTGCCTTAATGTTGTTATTGCATGGGTTGTAGCTAAGATTTTCCAAAATTGAGTTATTGGAAGTTAACTATCATGAAAGACCGAAAACTGAATAGTGATCCATTAAGAGAATCGTATTGTAGCACAAAATCAATTTTTCTCCACATCTCTATCTATACATTTAGTCCAAATGTGGTAAGAAATGAAAGATCAATTTCTACGTCAACCAATAACTGAATTTGATGGAATGATGAATTAAATAGAACGATTGAGTCTACATATATGGACCTACTAACAGTAGATAAATTTCCGTAGCAATCAGTCTTCAGTTGCACCAAAACGTTCAAAACACCGAGAAGTTACAAACAACCTGAATAATATCTAGATAACGTCAGTTGATAGCTACAAAGACAATATATATTGTTTAGCCAGTCAAATAGAACGTCTTAAAAGTGGTGAAGTGATACAAAACACTCTTTTGAAAAATTTTAAAATGTACAAAAATTGTTTGCATCTCAATAATTATTACCTAATTTTACTGAATATACGTAGACCATCTAAAGAAGAACAATTAGGTATCGATTGGGATCCCTGGTTTCAAGACCGCTTACGAAAAATAACAAAAACTAATCACGAAGTTAAATGCATCTTTAAATGCACTTCGTTAATTATGACAATAGATCAGTAGACTTACTCAGCATAACTTCAAGTCCCTCGTCATTCAATGAACCTGAAATGAAAATAAACAAAAATTAGTTCATCGATCCACACAATAACATCGCCTCATAAAATATACACAATTACCTTCCTCAACGATAGTTGGTGGGGTAACTGAATTACTAGAAAATCCAGCTTCTAGTGGATCAGATCCTGTGATTCTCCGTATTTCATCACGAAGCAAAGTAAAACGCCGTAACCTAGGTGCCAGTTGTGCCTCGTTAAGGTGATGACACCACTTCTCTGCCTCATCTTCAGAACGAGCGACAAATACAAGAGGTTTATCACCGGAATCGAAATCTGTGCAAGTCGTTTAACTCTGAACCATAAAGTTACCTAAACGAAATGAGTAGGATATTTCTTCATCTCTAGTACGCGACACAGTGAAACGCTCTAACAGTACCACACCTGAGACTTCATTGCTCGTTCTATCGGGAGAACGGCAAAGAATCAAAATGTTTCCTTTCAACCGGCACCAGTGTTCAGAAAAAACTGGAAAGTAATTTATAGCCAATCAAAACTTACTACATCCACGCTTTAATCGCGAATCTACTTTTTGTTTCCAATAGAGGATGCCTTCAAAAGACGAATTCCAAGAAGGAGATACACACCCAAGTTCCTTTGAATTGACTCTAACAAAACGCGAAATAAGAATTATGAATACAATAGATAAGTAATAGGATCACATGAGTTTATACATAATAATAACTGAGAGAAACCAGAATACTATGAGCCATAACTTAGAAGCCCACAACCGTGAACATGTAGTCGCAAAGGTCAAAAGCCGTTTTTAAGCAATTACTGTGAGACATAACAAGTTCAAACAGACAATTCAAACCAGAAATCATATTAAAAATACTGTCACTTCATATCGCAAACAACAATCCCATTTAGAGATCTTCAAATAAATCATCACTTAACTGATTAAAGAATGAGTTTAATGTTTATTTTAATTTTACTTTAGGTGTCTCGAGCGTCTTTAAGGGATAGAGCGACCAAACAAATACGAGTATTTAAATTATCTAGACTACTAAATTTTATTTTTGACTTGAAATGTCAAAGTAACAAACCCCATCAAGATATCATACGATAATTAAGTGGTAAAACCATGAAAACACGGAACACGCTAAAATGAACTTTAGGTTCCCAAACTATTTTTCAGAATCAAACAAGCAAGATACTTCAGGAAGTTTGTATATTATTTATGTTTAGTACGAGTAACAAGGTACTTAGAGTAGAGACCAGTAACTTCAGTTATCAAAACACTTTTAGGATGAAATATATAAAAAGACAGTTAATTAAAGGCTAAATGGCTATAACAAACTCATACTGTGTATGACTGATAAACATATATGACATGAATGTAGTTTTAAACAATTTTAATCAGCAGTCATAACTATTATAAGCAACCTGACTGGATAAAATAGTTTTCCACAGTGCTAAGATAAACAAAAAGCTTAATTGTTGAAGGCTATCTTATGTTTCCATTTTACTGTTTCCTGATATTTTTAAGCTTTCTGATATTCAAAATACCATACATTTCTATGTAGCTAAACAATATTTTATAGGTTCTCAACGTCAATTACCTGATCTTCTCATTCCATAATACTAAAACCGTATGGACCTTATATAATATGTCTATTACAAGTCATAAAACATCAAGTGGACTCTAACGCCTTCTATCACTGTTGGTGGCTATTGTCCCTCTTCTTAACAATTCAATCACGAGCATAAAACCTTATTGAGCTACCTTCACAAAAATACTTGGAAAGAATTCCGCAGTTGAAGTAAGCTTTCCATTAAAACTATATGGTAAGTATTATGAGATAAAACTTGATACATACAACGCAAAATGTAGTTGGTGGACATTTCGCAACTTCATCTGTAGCTCAGTCACAATTTTGAAAGTCGCTCTATTAGAGCAATTTGATGTAACAAGACAGAACTATTAGTCATCCAGACAAGCAGACTGATGTTCACTTTACATCATATTAATCCTTTTCTACACAAAATATCGCTGAACGAGTGAATACAGCACATAGATACTAAGTTACAAAGTAACTGATGCATGGCGGTCAATGTCGAATGAAATGGTATATATATATGATAAAATTTATAACTACATATACCTCATGTTTTAGCCATATTCTACGGTCTTCAGGCCTTTATAAGCGTAAATAATGGACAAAGTACACTTGAAATGCGACTGAAGTATAAGAAATGGAACTTATAAGCTGGAAATTGGAAGTTCTTGTTTCGACCTTATAGTCACCTGAGAAAAGAGAAAAATTAGATAATAAGCTTAGCTGAAGGAAGTCTTCCAGAATATGTACCTTCTTGCTTTAAGAACAATCAGTCAATCATTTCAATAAGACGTTCTTTAAAACTAAATCCTACACTCTGTATTTTTGCTACAAGAGTTAAAGTGCATTTATATGCAAACATATCTATATCAGTCCTAGATAATGAACTTTTAGGCACTTTTTAAAGTAAAATTGATGAATTAACGGGATGTAGATTATCACGGTTAAAATGGAACACATGATAAAATCCCCTCTTTCTTAGCGCTCTAAGAAATAAATTACATACTGCCAGGTTACACAGATGAAATTTTTGTTACGGTTTAAAAGACTTCCACGGTGACTGGTTTTCAGAAGAAGACCAGAAGTGTGTGGAACTCCACCACAAGCCCAAGCATAAATGAGAAGTTAGTCATCACTCGGCCAGATGTTTTACGGCTCTTCAAAAAAAGGCGTACAGATTAGGATGAATAATAATACGGGGAACGAAGTAATTACGCCCGTTAAGAACTCAAGAAACCATTCGAATATAAACCTTTGAAATTTCAACCCAATAATATTCCAGCCCCCTAAACAAACTGACTATAACTGAAAAATCCTACGTTATTACGCAACCCATTAACTAAAAAAGTATAAATAATGTGTGTGCAACACAAGCCAAAATGAGAATGTTTAGAAAATTCTGAAAAGGAATGACATGTAAGTACATTTTGGGTTATGTGACGCAATTTGTCATAAGCTTTACTCAAAAAGTGGTTGGTCTCCCAACGTTAGGAGCCTAGGCTTAAAAATAGGAACCTGAGCTACCAAGATTGGGGAAATTTTGGGGTATTTTGGAGAAACTCCCGAAGTCAAATGACCTTCACATAGCTATAGCTATGTAGTTGTAAACAAAAACAATGAATAGAAAAACTAAAAACTGCCCCGAGTATGATAAATTAACCCACAATTATCAAGACTGTTACTGATCAAGCATAAAATATTTAAAGGTAATTAATGTATATATATTCAAACTAATCACGAATCGATCGATTCGTGAACCAAACGAACTCCATGATTCTCTTTCATATATATACGCCATCCATACATAAAGACGAGTGAGGTGAAGATAAAATGTCATGCTTTAAAAAGACATGAATAAGATAACAAACTTAATTCCAAAGACATATCAAACGGACGCAAATATCCATTGCTTTTCAAGGTCGAACGGAGCTTACCGAAATACGCGGCCAGACTTTATTGGAAGTTGAAACATAGGCCTAATATGCACGTTACCATTTCTGTTCTGCGTTCTCACAACAAGGACAATCTAATGAAATGTGAGTTGGTTTCTAAGTGTTCGAAACGTATTTTAAAATTGTTTACCGATAAGACCGTTTATTCATATTTGAGGAAAAACGAACGGACAACGTTTACTGCCAATGAATTGTTACTATACACTAGTAGACATGGTATTTGGATACGACGAAAGAGTAAGTTACGTTAGGCACAAACAGAACGGTGACTTCAACGTTAGCCGATTGGTCATGCCATTCCCATCGAATTCGAGTGGGCTCACAATCATCGATACAGATTACCTACGCTGATGATCTACACTGGTGAGCAAGACGTTGAATTAAATATTATATAATGGTGATTAAATTTTCTGCAATCTCAAAAATTTGCCAACTACTATGATTATAATGAGAAATCTACAAACCTATGTTTGCCCACCAACAATTGGAGAGACCAACATGGCCATCAGGCGAATCAAGAGCAGCGAAGCAAATGAGGCACTGAACGCAAGCCTAGCTGTAACTGCAAAGATACTCCACATTTTCTTCGCCAAGATCTGATCTCTGCAGACTCGATGACGCTTCAAAAGTCAGAATGATTTTAAGAACACTTGGGAGGATGGAACATGAACGCTATATTAACTTCAATCTCCCGAAGAACCCACGAGACTTTAGTTTTGATGAAAAAATTAAAACCCTGTCCAAAATCTTTGGAGAACAATCATCTCTATATAATATCCGTTACCGATGCTTGAAGATAACGAAAGAATCAGAAGATGACTGGGTGAAACATGCAGGGATTGTGAACCGAGAATGTGAGAGATTCAAATTGTCTTCCATGACTGCCTAGTATTTATCTGTAGCCTGCATTCACTCGAAGATGCTGACATCCGAGCGAGAATCCTAAGCAAGCTAGAACACTGCCTCAACATGACGCCGCAGGAAGTAGCTACCAAATGCCAAAGGTTAGTGAATCTGAAGTATGATGCCTCGATGGTAGAGAACGGTAACTGGTTCCTTCATGTCAATGCAGTCGAGAAGAAAGTCTCACGAGGTTACAGCACTCAGAATTATCGTAATGACAGCAACAAAACATCATCCCCATGCCGTTTATGTGGCTGTTGGCAATTCAAAAGGTTTTGTCCGTTTAACAATCATCGTTGTACTACGCGTTCAAGAAAAAAGAAAAAAGAAAGTCATTACAAAACACGGAAAGCTGTCAAACGAAAGTGTATTCTAAAAGATTGAAGCCACAAACAACTAAAGTAACGGTAGCACTTCACAAAGCCGACTTTCATAACCGTAGAAAGTATGTTTATCTCAAGATCAATGGGTATGGTGCCCGCTTACAGTTAGACACTGCCTTCCATATAACGCTTATAAGCAGGAGAATGCGGGAAAAAATTGCGAGACCGAGAACATAATCAACACATCAATCAGCACAGAGTGAATCTGAGGGAATTTTTAACACTGCTAGTGAAATTCCTTGTTAAGTCACAGTCTATGAAGAAGGGTGCAATATTTCTGACAGACCGTCCATCACCCGACTTATTGGGGCTTGAATGGATAGAAAGGTCGAGGTTTACAGACCGCCCTATAAACCCGATCTGCAACAACGTCGGTACGTGGAAAGTTTAGAAGGACATATCCAAAAGAACTCTGGTCAAAGGGGCAGGAGAGAGTATCCCAGAACGAGTGTTCATACCGGAAGGAAAGTCACCAGACGAGTGTATTTTAGGAAGAAAATCCGGACAGTTTTTAACAGCATGTTGCCGCCCAGAAAGACAAATAAACCCATGAATGAGTATCGTACGGTCACTCGTGGCTTCCAGGTGGGTTAAAGGGTACTTGTCAAATCGTATCAAGGTAATAGAAAGTGGGAACCAGGTGTCATAGAACATCGGATCGGAAATGTACTATACCTGGCACGGAGAAATGTCGGAACGTGTTTAAGACACATAAATCAAATTCAAAAAAACAGCAGAACATTGGTCCCACAATACCGACTCCCGTTTCACTCGCTTGTGGATTCATCTTGAAAAAACCCTCATGAGCACTAATGTAAAAGAGATAAAAGACGCAAGGGCAAAGCTGCACAACCTTCGAGAGTGATGGGCTGCAACAGCAATACGGTAACCAAGTTTCAGGTGGATCCGAGGAAAAAGTTTTACATAACAGACTTAAAAGAAGGAAGTTGTTGGGGTGACCCGGAAAAATTCTCACAAAAGACAAGCGAGAATCAGGAAACACTAAAAAGCATTTCATCTAATCAGCGTTCACCAGAAGTTTAGCCAGAAACATTAAGAAAGTGAAAAGTTACATGCAGAATTTCTGATTGGCTGATTACTATACTGCTACTATGTTTAGTAGCACTCCAGAATTTTCGGAAACCCAAGGACACCTAAACTTTTATAAAAACCTTACATTTTCCGTAAAAAAACGAACCTTTGGAGTAAAGTGCTTCTCTCATGATTTGCGCCTTTTCTCTCGTGTTCAGGTCACTGTGTAGTTCTAGCTTATGGGTTATGAGAATAGCTTAGAAACCGAATATAGTGTTCAATTAGCAAGACTTATCAGATGGGTTGTAAATATAAAAAGAAATGATTGATCTTAACTGGCTAGCGCTTGCAAGAGAAGTAGAGCGCGGCGTTCCCATTCTTGATCTTGTGCGGATGCGTGACCGAGTGTCTTCGGCGTAGTGAGTCCATTAGGACTAGTGTGGTCAGCATCAAATGTCGGATACTAACAGAGCTATTGATTTCGGGGATTTATTTGCCCCCACAACATTATTCTATCATACACTAGTTAACAGTGGAGTTGCGTGGATTTTTAAGTCTCCGAATATACGCAAACGTGAGTGAACCTGAGCAATCCGATGCATCTGCAGCTTAAATAACTTTAACCCAAGGGGCAGGCATTCCTTCGTTCTCACATAGTTTTATAACCCACATTTGGCACTAGTTGTTGAGTGAACATGCTCAAGGTCAGTCTAGCGTCGCTCTAAGGTCGTCCATAAGTTGTGATCTCACTGCTTGTGATGCTTTCTTGTAGCCTTGTTGACGTCACAGTTACCAGCCCAAGCTTTGTTGATATGGAAATGTTCTACTTATGGGTACATGGACGAACTAGTAAGTATACCGCCAAGTCGTTTATATTCTTCTAACTACGATTTCTCGTCATTTATTCTCAGAATGCACCTAAGTTTGGCAAATTCTTGAGTAAATCAGCGAAACTTATATATGTTAGGTTTGAGATAGCGGGTTTTAGATTTTTTGGCCCAAAACTCATTGATCCATATGCCTGTAATGCATCTTGGCGTTATAATTGTTATTAGTTCATGATGAAAATCCTTAATATAACCTCCAACCTCAGCTTTTAATTAAATCTCGGTTCTGCTTTCTCACACTAATCCACAACCCTTCTTAAAACGTAGTACACTGGTAAAGTTTCTAAAAGTCACTTTGACGTAGCTCAAAGGTTTTTTATAAATTATAGTCTCACCTCTCATGTACTTGATAGAGTAGTTACCAGACAGAACTAATAAATTGTTGGTTGTGGATTTCTTGTCACCGTCTCATGAGGAACATTTAGGCAAAACATCTTACTATCTCCCCAATTACAGTCGTTAAGGGCGACAATGCACAAAGTTCCTTGAATTCATCAAACTTTCTTTGGGGATGCGATCTTTATTCCCCTCAAGTTCTTCATTTTCCCCTTTCTTGTTTGCTTGGGATTGTTCTGTCCTAAATTTTAGACCGTATTGGAAACAGTAATACACCAATTTCCTATTCTCAAGCTTTCTAGTTTGCCTTTAGAAATTTGAAGTTTGTATTCTTTAAATAAATAGGCCGTATACGGTCTATCATACCGTAAAATTCACTCAAGGCTTTATTATGGTAGCACTACATACACGAATTATAAAACAAAACCTATAGTGTGGCTTTTACGGTATCATGACAATTATTTCGATCATGCATTTCTAGGCAATGAAACCTGTTACCTCCATCCCACTTAGTAATATGAAGCCTGACTTCGAATGAATTAAGTTTTTACTGTTTTTGTCACCGTTCAAGGAACTTTAAGTGCACCGTTGACTTGATTTTACACTGTTGAATTCTCTTGTTGACACGAATTAGTTTTTCTGACTAATAAACCATTCAATCTGTGCATCTATTTTTCATGTTACACTGATGGTATTACTGGAACGTTTAAGTAATTACAGCTATTGTTGCATGAAGTTATTGCTATCTGGTATCAATGGAAATATTCTTGGCAAACCGCAATCATTTCTTTAGATAGGTATTTTATCTACCAAATTCTATTTTAATTACCCAGGATAGTTTCAATATAAAATGACCAATTTATTTATCGCTCCAACTAACCATAAACCTGTTTACTGTTCCGTCAATTTCTTAGTTTCTCAGGCTTGCACAATCATGGCCCAATCGCCTTCAGTAGAGGAGTATGGTATGACAAACGATATGTTGGCCGCACATGTCAGAGACCACTTTGCTCAATTCACACTTTTGGAATCAGGTTTACGACATCCGAATTCTTTCATGCAAGATTGTGCATACCACCAGCTTACACCAGAAACTCGCAAACAATTGATTCACTTGTACGTGTTGACCTCATTCCCCTGTTTTTCCTTTACCTTGCTGCATTCAGGAAAAGTGTTTCAGATTTCTAAAAGTAGTTGCCATACGGAAGATCACATATTAGCTGATTTATTCACCTTAAAATCTAGGCATTCTTCGCGTGCTGGTTTTATCAAAGCTGATATGGGACAAATACCCACAAGTAAACCCAGTGACCGGAAAACGCGCTAAGTCAACATTGTACGTTCATACTGGGATCTTGTAGGTCGTCAGTCCACTATATCGGACTTTAGTCAATGCGACCAGTATGCCCATTTATCAGCGCTTACAGCAGTGACGCAAGTAGGCATGAATTAACTGTAAAGTAAATACTAATCATCCTTTGCCTTTCGCAAGGCATTTGGTCATTATATTTTGCCTTCCAATAATTCGGTGACCTACCACAGAAATGTTAGATAAATACTTCTACATAATTCAGATATACCTATCCATTCTCCGTATTCAAAAACAACTGGGATTCTCGTACGCAAATGTTTTCCACAAAATCTACGCAGTACGTCTCCTAATTATTTTATTTATTATCTATTTAAACACAAGTATTGGTACAAAGGGGACTGAATACATATGCGCCATACAATCCACTTGGTTTGTGTGTGGGTTGTGATATTGCCCGGGTGCCCAAACTGAAGCATGTGGTTTTCTTGGGAGACCACAGCCATAGCCTCCGACCTAAAGGTCTGATCCACGAGACAATGAAGCAACATAAGAAGCTGCAGTCCCGTAGTAGCCGGTGATCAATAATTGGTTCATACGCCATTTGTCCCCTCAGGATACTGGAGCTCATGTGCATCCCTAGTTTGAAATCAAGGTTTTCCAACTCCCCTAAGTGGATCGATCGTCTGTATCCACCAACCCGGTCAAAGAGCCGGACATTCGCTTTTCGTCCTGCCAATTTTGTAAACAACACCCCCGCCACATGAAGGCAGTGGGTAGGACTTCCCTGACAGTGGCTGTATACGTGTGGCCAAGTGAGAGCATTTGGAGACGAAGAGCTGACTCTCCCCACACTCGGCCGTAACAGAGCATTTGCGGGCTGTCTCATAATTACGGTATGAATAAAAGCCGTTGTTGAGATCAAACTTATGTCTTGGAATTAGAGTGCTTAGTAAGATGGGAAGGCAGATTTATTTTATACATTTAAAATAATGATGTTCCATGTTAACGTTGAATTTGTACAACTGAATGGATATTGCGCTGAGTATTTTCAAATTCGCTTTCAAATGTTTTGCTCTTTGTCAATCTGTAAATTCCCATAAATGTCTTAGCTGGTTGGGGATTTGTCGAAATTTGTTACCTACGGTGAAACTGTCCTATCTGTCCGACTCCCAGATCAATAATTTCATCCAAGTGTATGAGGTAATCATAGTTCGAGATCTGAATTCAGTTCACTAGATGCTGCATTTTATGAATCGAGTCAAATAAATCTATATTTAAACATTTCAGTGTAATAGTTTTACTTGGTATCTTCGTACCATAATCAACTGTAAAAATGAATATAATAATTAAACTCATTAATCAACTACAGGTTTTGCACTATTTTGAGTCACACTTGTTGTGTAAAAGCTGATAATAGTTGTTTGCGCGAACTGAAGTACAGTAAGTTTTGGACTTGTGATTTAGTAACTAGAAGCTCAAAGCTACGATTTAACGTATGACTGAGGTGCTTTTCATGAGGATAGAAAAAGTTGATATGAGTTACTTTGTACTTGATTCCACTCAATCATTTCCTTACGTAATCCAAATATATTTTTATAAGATTGTTCAATACTTGTCAAAACGTCTATTCCGTAGACAACGTTGCAAACTGACTGGCTATTTTGTGACCTTCATTTTCAGGCTTGACTGGATATCCATCATTATATAATTATCTTGATTCACCTTGTATGCTTATGTGCAATTAGCATTTATTTTTGGCTAAGGACCTCGTAATATCATTCATCTTGACAACTGTCAGTGTAATTTAGTTCAATCTTCCTGCTATTTGTTCACACCATATTAAGTATTGTTGTGATTTGGTGACAATTCATCCAATGTATTATTGTGAAACTTTGTACCAATCACCCATTCCACATCTTTCATTTACTTCGATTTATCATTATATACAGATACTATTCCCTTGATGAGAGTTTTTTACGTGAATTTGTTGGCAGAAGGTTATCAAATAAATCCCGACGGGAATTATCTGATATTGCAGAAAGATGTGAACTTCAACTAAGGAGTTGTAAAAGGCAGTTTGATAATTTGTCGTGTGTCGCCCGCCGGACTGAAGATTTACCTGGTCCACTAACAGATAATATAAAGAATTGTTTTCTTCTACCAGAATGGCTTGCCGAATGTTATGCCGCTGTTATATTTATTGCAAGTAACAGGTATATTTACACAAAAACTTTTGACAACTTAACTGGTTTTGATATAAAATATGATGCAACAGTGCTTCAATTGCAAGTACAACATATTATGACAGCAGTAAAAACTGTTATAAAGTTATATGACGGGTAATATATACATTCCTTGTTCTGTTAAGGGTTATTAGTATGTTGTATTTGCCTTATTTCATCAAACCTGTCTATCTGTTACTGCTTAAATGTGTGAAGCATTATATTTATTAGCCAGTGAGTTCTATCCAGCACTGCAGAAGAAAAAAACCTGTAATATTCCTAAGGAAGCGCTCGTTAATTTTGTATTATGTTCCATTCTTGTTCACACATTTGCTGGAGATTATAGTCTGATGTTTCCTTTTTCATGTATTTCGTTTCTGTTAAGTTTCTTAGCAAGGAGATAGTACGAAATCATTTGAGTTAGTCAGAATTGTGCTTATGAATTTATATTGTGTGGTTTATATATTGAAGGCTCTAAAACTTTGTGGTTGATCACCTCGAATAATACTGCTTAAAGCGGTTATAGTGGCCCGGGAAATTATTTATTTATTTATTTATTTGAACACATAAATATTGGTACAAGAGAGCGCCAATATATATGCGCCACACAAAACAATGAGAATTCGAAGAGAAGTAGAAAGAGAAAAAAAACTAAAGAACGCAAAAGAAAAAGAGAACAATGACGAAGAGATTGGAGTAAGGTAGTGTGGTAGTAACGACGGAACGAAAAGGTACAATCAGAAGAAATCTTTCAGGTAAAGGAGACACAACCACTTTTTATGAAGAAAGTAAAAGAAGAGGACAGCAGGATCGCCACTGGCTTCTATTCTGAGCCATATCTGATAACGTCTCTAGCCACTGTGTAGCACCATCTCTCGGACCCCAGCCAGGGAGTCGTGAAGGACCAACACAAGCCAGCCCTTTGCAGCTTTCTTTCATGCCACGACACCATGTCATGCACTGACCACCTCTCCGCTTCTTCCAACCAGTCCCAGCGTCGGCAAATAATGCACGACGTGGAATTCTCTGGGACGACATTCGGAGAACATGTCCAAGCCACCGTAGTCGGTGTTTCAAGATGGTGACACCAATTGAGTTATCATCTCTGTGCCCGAACACACGATGCCGAACCTCTGCATTACTGACATGGTGTTGCCACTGAATGTCAGCAATCCTTCGGAGACAGCGATGATCGAACACAGAGAGTCGTCTAACGTCCTCAACTCGGAGAGACCAGGTTTCACAAGCATAGAGCAAAACTGCTCTCACCGACGCGTTGTAGATCCGGCCTTTTACAGCCAGACTAACATCACGAAGGCGCCAAAGATGGCCCAGATTGGCATAAGCCGCTCTGGCTTTCACTATTCGTGCATTGATCTCATCACTCACGCCACCACCAGCACTTATGCAGCTACCCAGATACACGAACTTCTCGACTACTTCTATCTGCTCACCATCCAGGGTGAGTACAGGATTAGGATCCTGCCAGTCTTGTAGAAGTACTTTGCACTTCGAAGTTGCAAAGCACATACCATACCTACGGACACTGATTGCCAACTGATTAAGTGCGGATTGTATGGCTTTGGCATTATCGCACAGTAAGACAATATCGTCCGCATACTCAAGGTCGAGAAGTCTTTCTCCAGGCAACAGATCCACACCACCATTACTTACATTCATCAGAGCTGTTTCCAGAATGTCATCGATGGCAAAGTTGAAGAGGAATGGTGAGATTGGGCAACCCTGCCTAACCCCACTTCTCGAATGGAACAATGGAGAAAGGTGGTTGTATGCCCTCACTCTGCCTGAAGTGTTTGCATATAGGGCTTTTCAGATGTTAATAAATTTCTCAGGCACATCCTTCTTCAATGGACAATCCCAGAGAACAGTCCTATCCAACAAATCGAAGGCAGCCCTAATGTCAAGAAACACTACGATTGTTGGCCTTTGATAAGTATGGCGGTGTTCCAACATCTGGTGGAGGGTGAAGATATGATCAATACATCCTCGACCAGAACGAAACCCAGCCTGCTCCTCGCGAGTCAATCTTTCTCGGGTTTTGAACAACCTACGAAGTATGACGGAAGCCAATAGCTTGGACGCAATCGGAAGTAAACTTATCCCCCGATAGTTGTTACAGGAACGACGTGAACCCTTTTTAAAGATAGGGACAACTATCGACTCATTCCATGACGTTGGTACACTCTCTAGTTCCCAAACCTTTGTAAACAACGTCGTCAATTCCTTAGTCAGAGAGTCACCACCATCTTTAAAAAGAGCCGGAGGTAAGTCATCTGGGCCAGGTGATTTGTAACGCTTCAAGAGTTGGAGTTCCTTGCGGACTTCCTCCTCATTTGCTGGATCAGTCGTCATCGGCCATGGAGGGCAGGACAGTCTGACCGATGTTGCCGGAGCAGCAGGCCAGTTGAACTGCCCTTCGAAGAATTCTGCCCATCGTCCAAGACGTCGATGGATGTTAGTGATTGGCATCCAATCATCCTCGCAGATTGTTTCACTCACACCAGACTTCTTGTTGCCAGTGGCTCGGATGAGCTGGAAGAGCTTCCGACAGTTACCAGATGCAGCTGCTGCTTCCAGCTCATTAGCACGCATCGACCACCAGGCTTCTCGAAGATGGCACAGGGTCCCCGGATAAGCGCACGTAAAACAAGCTTTTCGAAGCGACAGATGGAGATCGAATTTGTAGTACTTCGCCAGAGTCTTGAGTACGGGTCTCGGATAGACAACACACGTCGATATTAAGACTTTCTAAAGACATAGCCAGTACTATCTGTTGTCCAACCTGCATGAGTGTGCGAACGTTGAAGGCAGCCAGTTTGAATGGTGCACGTGGTTTCAAAAATACTGCTTCAGTCCTCGTATTCGGTGGTAACATACAATTTTCAACCGGACAGTGACTCGAGAACGTTTAGATACAGTCGGATTTCCACCAAAGACGAGCCGCTGTATAAGTATAAAAGAGGGTGAATAATGTGGAAAATAATAATAATAATGATAATAATAACAATAATGACAATAATAGTAGTAATAATAATATTAGTATTAATAATGACAATAATTGTAATGATAATAATCTGAATCAATTGTTTGTTTTTCAAAGCGAGAAAGGTAATTTCCATAGGCATAAAGAGTTCATCAATTTGTGTGTGGGCTGTGATACTGCCCGGGTGCCCAAACCGAAGCAGGTGGTTATCTTAGGGGGCCACTCCCCGAGCCTTTGACCTAAAGGCCTAACCCACAAGGCAGTGGAGCATCGTAAGGAGATGCAGTCCCATGGTAGCCGGTGACCAACGATTGGTTCATACGCCATTCGTACCTGCAGGATACTGGAGCCCATGTGCACCATTGATTTGGAATCCGGTTAAAGCGCCGGACATTCGCTTTTCGTCCTCTCATTTTCGTAAACAACACCCCCGCCACGAGAAGGCAATGAGTAGGACTTCCCTGGCAGAGGCTGTATACGCGTGGCCGTGTGAGAGTATTTCGAGAGGGAGAGCGGACTCTCCCCACTCTCGGCCGTACCAGGGCATTCAGGGGGGCAGGAAAAAGCCATTCTTTACTCTTAACTAAACCTTTAGCACTGTTTATCCACATGTTTTTCCAGCTTAATCTAAGCATTTCGTCCCTTCGTTGGTCTTCACTCTTTCTTCGATTCAACATGCTTATTTAGGACGTATTTCACTGACTTTGTCTAATGGATAATCATCTCTCTGTACATATATTTCCTTAGATTTGAAACGTCTAAGAAGTGTCTTTCATATCTTACTTTTGAGAACTTGGCATACTGTGCAGGTCAGCTAATGACTCATTGGTCAACTAGTGGTAAAGGTAGGTATAAATTTGTTTTGTTTTCTTGATAAGTTGTAATTCGGTCCATTTTTTCAGTGTATGATAAGAAAGGAATTTATGATTTATTGTGGATATGATGTAAGGTACAGCATTAATACAATTAACTAATCAATCGGGTACAGATTCGTATACGTGCCCATGAGCTGGATTCTAAATATGAGGGTTAGTTATGCTACCAGGTTGCCAAAACTTCAATAGTTGGGAAAGGTATTACGACCTGCTGCTTGAAAGTTGAACGCCTGAACCATTGGGTTACTGTTCCACTTTCTCGTTATCTGACGGTCCCAGTTTATCAGAATCGTTTCAAACATCGTTATTACTTGCTTAGAACAGCAAATTTTAATTACCTAAGTTAGTCATTTATGAGTGTTATTTCAAAAGTTTGGTATATAAAATTTTTAATCTTAGACTCACTTAAGTATAAATAATTTGCATTTACAGTTCTGTTGATCCTATTACAGTCAGACAGTAACAACGTAGAACTTCGTACGTACGTACATCAGTTCGAGTTGACACACCACATTAGTACAGAGATGCAGTGGCCGATTCAAATCCCGTAGTGCTAGATGTAGTAAAATTATAAGCTGTAATCAGAAAAATTAGGGTTTGAAGATGTTATTCAAGGAGTATAATCCAGTGAAATAAATTTGGAAAGAGGAAAAATGGGACATGAAGATTTCAGAAGATTAGAATTCGGGAGAACACAAAGAGTGGATGCACCTGTACCATTGCAAACGATTTTGAGCCATGTCATTCAAGGTCTCTAACCATTGGTTGTTATCATCTCGCGGTCCCCAACCAGGTAGTCTACACCTACCAACATGGCTCAGTCCACTTGTCAGTGACTTCATGGCTTTGTGCCATGTTTTGGTCTGTCCGCACCCAGCTTTCTCCCAACCTACTCCTACACCATAAAACATCCCACGTCGGGGTAGTCGGTGGTTGGACATACGCGACACATTTCCCAGCCATCTCAACTGACGAAGTTTCACTACTTCGTCGATTTATTTGCCATCCTTACCTAGTACCCATTTCCTAACAACTGCGTTACTTACTCGATGGTCCCAGGATATACGAGCAATGTTTCGAAGACACCTATAATCAAATACTAGTAACCCACGAATATCCTCTACTCTTACCGGCCATGTTTCACTGCCATAAAGTAGGACGGAACGAGCTGCTGCATAGTGAATAAGTCCTTTGGTTGGTAGATGGATATCTCACGTACGCCATAAATGACTTACTTACTTACTTACTTACTTACTTACTTACTTACTTACTTACTTACTTACTTACTTACTTACTTACTTACTTACTTACTTACTTACTTACTTACTTACTTACTTACTTACTTACTTACTTACTTACTTACTTACTTACTTACTTACTTACTTACTTACTTACTTACTTACTTACTTACTTACTTACTTACTTACTTACTTACTTACTTACTTACTTACTTACTTACTTACTTACTTACTTACTTACTTACTTACTTACTTACTTACTTACTTACTTACTTACTTACTTACTTACTTACTTACTTACTTACTTACTTACTTACTTACTTACTTACTTACTTACTTACTTACTTACTTACTTACTTACTTACTTACTTACTTACTTACTTACTTACTTACTTACTTACTTACTTACTTACTTACTTACTTACTTACTTACTTACTTACTTACTTACTTACTTACTTACTTACTTACTTACTTACTTACTTACTTACTTACTTACTTACTTACTTACTTACTTACTTACTTACTTACTTACTTACTTACTTACTTACTTACTTACTTACTTACTTACTTACTTACTTACTTACTTACTTACTTACTTACTTACTTACTTACTTACTTACTTACTTACTTACTTACTTACTTACTTACTTACTTACTTACTTACTTACTTACTTACTTACTTACTTACTTACTTACTTACTTACTTACTTACTTACTTACTTACTTACTTACTTACTTACTTACTTACTTACTTACTTACTTACTTACTTACTTACTTACTTACTTACTTACTTACTTACTTACTTACTTACTTACTTACTTACTTACTTACTTACTTACTTACTTACTTACTTACTTACTTACTTACTTACTTACTTACTTACTTACTTACTTACTTACTTACTTACTTACTTACTTACTTACTTACTTACTTACTTACTTACTTACTTACTTACTTACTTACTTACTTACTTACTTACTTACTTACTTACTTACTTACTTACTTACTTACTTACTTACTTACTTACTTACTTACTTACTTACTTACTTACTTACTTACTTACTTACTTACTTACTTACTTACTTACTTACTTACTTACTTACTTACTTACTTACTTACTTACTTACTTACTTACTTACTTACTTACTTACTTACTTACTTACTTACTTACTTACGTGTTACTCCTCGTGAAGGAGCATAGGCCGCTCACCAGCATCCTCCATCCAACCCTATCCTGGGCAATCCTTTCCAGCTCCTTCCAGTTCCTATTCATCCTTTTCATATCTGCTTCTATTATCCGACGTAATGTGTTCTTAGGCCTTCCTCTTTTTCGCTTCCCTTCAGGATTCCAAGTTAGGGCTTGTCTCGATGCAGTTTGATGATTTGCGTAATGTATGTCCTATCCATTTCCATCGTCTTCCCCTAATTTCTTCTTCAGCTGGAAGCTGATTTGTTCTCTCCCACAAAAGGCTGTTGCTGATGGTATCCAGCCAATGTATGTTGAGTATTTTGCGAAGACAGCTATTTATAAATACTTGTACCTTCTTGATGGTGGTTGTTGTAGTTTTCCAAGTTTCAGCTCCATATAGTAGAACTGCCTTGACGTTGGTGTTGAAGATTCTCACTTTGATATTAGTTGAAAGTTGTCTTGAGTTCCATATGTTCTTCAATTGTAGGAATGCGACCCTTGCTTTGCCAATTCTTGTCTTTACATCTGCATCTGAGCCTCCTTGTTCATCGATGATGCTTCCCAGGTATGTGAAGGATTTCATAAATGACGCAAGTTTGTAAAAGCTAGTCGAGCCTTCTGTGTCCGTGCTGAGATTTCGTCACACACCAGACCACAAGGGCTGATGAGACTTCCAAGATAAGTGAAGCGGTCGACACGCTCAACTACTTTACTCCCTATCACTAGTTCGGGTGTCGATGTAACCCAATCCTGAAGCAACATTTTGCATTTCGAGGGAGAGAATCGCATCCCGAACATGCTTGCATTGTTGCTTAGAGTGGTCAGAAGACTCTGCATTTTGTCGGCGTCTTCACCAAATAGAACCATGTCATTGGCATATTCTAAATCAACAAGTGAATCTCCCAGTAGAAGTTTAACTCCTGGAAATTTAGATAAGGGAAGTATTATCTCTAAAAGCATGTCAGCAGCAAAGTTAAACAAAAATGGAGAGAGTGGGCAGCCTTGACGAACACCACTTAAGGTAATCAATTTCACTGACAGTTCACCATAAGCTCTCACTCGGTTAGTTGTGTTTGAGTAGAGAGCCTTTATAAGGTTAATGTACTTCTTTGGTACTCCTTCCAGTGATAAACACTGCCATAGAACCTCACGATCAACAGAGTCGAATGCCGCCTTAAGATGGAGAAATACTACCATTGTGGGGCGTCTGAACGTATGTCTATGTACTAGGACCTGACGTAGTGTGACTATCTGATCTATACAACCATGTCCAGGTCAAAAACCATCCTGGTTTTCTCTAGTCTGTTCTTCACGAGCTTTAGTTGGGCGTCGATGTATTGTTGAAGCTAATATTGTAGACACTATATTAGTCAAACTGATTCCTCTGTGATTGTCACAAGAGGACTTTTGTCCTTTCTTATAGACTGGCACAATCAGTGATTAAGACCAGTCAGATGGGATTACGTCCAGTCCCCTGATTCTGCCTAAAAGCTCAGTCAATCTCACTGCTAGTACTGGACCGCTATCCTTAAAAATCAGAGATAAACCTGTCAGGGCCTGATGCTATCCAACATTTCAGATTTTCCAGCTTCGTAAAAAGTTGAAGGACCTACATCAAGTTGCCATTCAGGTAGACTGGAGATCGTGGGATTGTGTGGCTGAAGGCCGGTTGAACTGATCCCTAAAGTGTTTTGCCCATCGATCCAATCTCCTGGATTGAGAGTGAATAATGTGTCTATCTATTTGTGAGATAGTTTCACTAACAGTTGGATTCTTAACACCGGTTTCCTTGACAAGTCTGAATAGTTTTCTGCTGTTGCCGCTGTCTTTTCCATCTCTATTGCTTTTGCTACCCACGATGATTGCATAGGCTTCTTATCAGACTGCGCTTAAGCTGACTCCACTCTTCGTTATGTTCAGAGCCAGATGGAATGAGTTTTCGAGCATCTGTCAGTGCGGTAGACGCTTGCTGAGATCCAGTGCTTCTCCCTAACTTTGTGGTTTACCGTACTAGCAGATATGAATGCTGTTTCCACAGATTTTCGGATATCATTCCACGCTGCCTCGGGGTGGGCATCACATACATGGCTGCCTAACTTTTTCTAGCTGTTCCTGAACTATATTCTTAGCTTGGCTATCATTAAGTAAGACCCTAAGAGGTTTACTTGCAGCGTCTTTCCTACGTCCAGTAAGATGCAGACAAATACACGCTCGTACTAGAGCACGATCTGAATCTAAGCATGTGCTCCAGAACGAGCGACAGTCTTCTATCGAGCCCTTCCATCAGTGGTTGATAGCGATTTGATCTATTTGGGTTCAACGTTGGGATGAATTCGGGGGTCGCCATATCAAAAGACGTTTTTCCTTATGCTTAAAGTTAGTATTTGCAAGGAACAGGCGGTTATGTGAGAACATCTGCAACAGACAGTCGCCATTATCTGTTCTTTGAGCCACGACACCATAAGATCCACCTAGGTGTCTTTGCCTTTCGCTTAGTTCACCTTTTATATACTTACTTACGCCTGTTACTCCCAATGGAGCATAGGCCGCCGACCAGCATTCTCCAATCCACTCTGTCCTGGGCCTTCCTTTCTAGTTCCATCCAGTTCTTGTTCATTTTTCTCATGTCTGTTTCCATTTCCCGGCGTAGTGTGTTCTTTCGTCTTCCTCTTTTCCTTTGGCCTTGAGGATCCCATGTGAGGGCTTGTCTTGTGACGCAGTTGGGTGCTTGCCTCAATGTGTGTCCTATCCAATTCCAGCGCTTCTTCCTGATTTCTTCCTCCGCTGGGATCTGGTTTGTTCTCTCCCACAATACGTTGTTGCTAATAGTGTCCGGCCAACGGATCTGAAGTATTTTGCGTAGACAACTGTTAATAAACACCTGTATTTTCTGGATGATGGCTTTCGTAGTTCTCCAGGTTTCTGCCCCATACAGTAGAATTGTCTTGACATTTGTATTGAAAATGCTGACCTTGGTGTTGGTTGACAGTTGCTTTGAGTTCCAGATGTTCCTCAGCTGTAAATATGCTGCTCTTGCTTTGCCGATCCGCGCCTTCACATCTGCATCCGATCCACCCTGTTCATCAATGATGCTGCCCAAATATGTAAAGGTTTTCACATCTTCCAAATCTTCTAAGTCAATTGTGATTGGGTTGGTGCATGCTGTGTTGTATCGGAGAATCCTGCTTTTCCCTTTGTGTATATTGAGACCTACTGCTGCTGAGGCTGCTGCTACACTGGTCATCTTCGCCTGCATTTGTTGTTGCGTTTGAGATAGAAGGGCCAGATCATCTGCGAAGTCTAGATCATCCAACTGCATCCTAGATGTCCATTGTATCCCGTGCTTCCCTTCAGACGTAGACGTCTTCATGATCCAGTCGATCACCAAGAGAAAGAGAAAGGGTGAGAGTAAGCAACCTTGCCTGACACCGGTCTTCACTTCGAACGACTTTGTCAATTGTCCTCCATGCACGATTTTACAGTGTACTCCATCATATGAATTCTGTATGATAGTGACTATCTTCCGAGGCACGCCGTAGTGTCGAAGAAGTTTCCATATTGTTGTTCTGTCCACGCTATCAAATGCCTTTTCGTAGTCAATGAAGTTGATGTAGAGTGATGAATTCCATTCAATTGATTGTTCCACAATGATCCGTAGAGTTGCGATTTGGTCTGTACACGATCTATCCTTACGAAATCCTGCCTGCTGGTCACGAAGTTGGGCGTCTTTTCAGTCCTTCATCCTGTTTAACAATACCCTGTTGAAGACTTTTCCCGGTATTAAGAGAAGAGTGATGCCCCTGTAGTTATCACAGTTGCTGAGATCGCCTTTCTTCGGTATTTTGATCAGAAGTCCTTCTTTCCAGTTTGTTGGTACTTGTTCCTCATCCCAAATCTTATTGAAGAGAATGTGGAGTATCCTTGCAGTTGCCGCTACGTCTGCTTTCAGTACCTCTGCTGGAATGTTGTCTGGTCCTGCTGCTTTGCCACTCTTGATTTGTCTGATGGTCATGCTTATCTCTTCAATTGTTGGTGGGCCAACATTGATTGGGAGGTCCGTGGGTGCTGCTTCGATGTTGGGTGGGTTCAGTGGAACTGGTCGATTCAAGAGTTCTTCGAAGTGTTCTACCCACCTGTTTCGTCGTTCTTCAATATTGGTGATTACCTCGCCTTCCTTGCTTTTCACTGGTCGTTCTGGTTTGCGGCGATTTCCAGAGAGTTTCTTTGTTATGTCATACAGTTGTCTCATGTTTCCTTCTCTTGCAGCCTTTTCCGCCGTCATTGCTAAATCTTCCACATATTTACGTTTGTCGGTTCTGATGCTCCTCTTCACTTGTTTGTTAACTTCTGTGTATTCAGTTTGTACTTTGTTTTTTTCTGCTCTTGTTCGACTGGTATTGATTGCTGCCTTCTTGTTCCTCCTTTCTTGAATCTTATCCTGTATATCAACAGTGATCCATTCCTTGTGATGGTGCTTCTTGTGACCCAGGACCTCATGGCATGTTGAAGTGATTGCCTCTTTTATCCCCTTTCAGTTGCTCTCCACAGTAGTTCCTTCTCCATTGAGTAGATCATGAAAGGCCTGGAACTTGTTACTGACGACTATCTTGAGTTTCTTGAGTTTGTCAGTATCCGGAAGAAAGGCCGTATTGAACATTTGTGATATTGTCCGCCCCGTTGTTCGGTGCTTCTTAAGTTTCAATTTCATCTTGGCGACCAGCAAGTGATGATCTGATGCTATATCAGCTCCTCTCTTGGTTCTCACGTCCTCTATAGTCCTCCTGAACGTTTTGTTGATGCAAATATGGTCGATTTGGTTTTGCGTGGTGTGATCCGGTGAAGTCCATGTGGTTTTGTGTATGCGTTTATGTGGGAATATGGTGCCGCCTATGACCAGTTTATTGAAGGCACATAGGTTTGCAAATCTCTCACCATTTTCGTTTCTGTCTCCCAGTCCCTGTCGTCCCATGATGTCTTCATATCCGGTGTTGTCCGTTCCAACCTTGGCGTTGAAATCTCCCATCAGAATGGTCAGGTCCTTTGTTGGGCACTTCTCGATGATTGACTGCAGCCTATCGTAGAATTGATCTTTAGCGTCTTCATTGTAATCGTTGGTAGGCGCGTAGCATTGGATGATGTTCATTGAAATGCCCTCTTTTTTTGTTTTGAACGAGGCTTTGATGATCCTTGGTCCATGAGATTCCCATCCTATAAGTGCATTTTGTGCTTGTTTGGACAGCATCAATGCAACTCCTTGTGTATGTGGGGCATTTTCTTCTTCATGACCAGAGTATAACAGGAGCTCTCCTGTAGTTAGTCGTTGTTGTCCAACTTGTGTCCAATGTGTTTCACTGATTCCAAGTACCTCCAGCTTGTATCTCCTCTGTTGTGGCTTTATGTTGCGGTCGATTTCTACCCTGTGCTAATTGTTGTATCCTCGACTGGAAAAATTAGAGAGCAGTGTATTTACCGATCGATTACAGTGACACGTAAACACGTACGGACGGCCTAGAGTCTCGATTGGTGCCACTTCCCTGTCTAGCCCAGTTAGTTGAGTCCTGAACACAAGTCACAACCTCTGAGTTATGAATCATTATATTTCAAACATACTTTCTTTATATACCAATCAAGCATACCAAATCGTACCATAAAATAGAAAACAACATTTTGTACAATATTCAACAAGTGAACAGATATCGACCAATAGAAAATGTCCATTTAAAGTCCAAGGACACCATTGGACTTAACATGATAATTATTGGTCTATTCCTCCGCATCCACAACATCCTCATTTCTGCAGCGATTTGGAAGGCTCTTCCGGTGTCCCACATTGTACGAACATTCCATGTACCTAAATAAATGGTCGCTCTGGTTGTCAGAAGGGGCATCGGCCTCGTAACTTCCGAAGGAATTCAGCTTTCATCATGAGGCGTCATAGTTCTTCTAAATGAAGACCTTCTGACTCCCAGGGCAGAGTCTAAAAGATTTGAATAATTTTTTCTGGTTAGCGTTTTTTTAGCGAATTAGTTTTCTACGGGATGGGGACGCTAACTCCATGCCCAACCCTCCTCCTTTATCCGGGCTTGGGACCGGCAGTGGCCCCCGGAGGGACTTCAGGCGGAGTTCACCTACTTGAGCATTAAAGTCACCAGCCACTATTAGTACATCAGAACGCCTAGCTTTTCGGAGAAGATCGGGAAGCTTCCTGTAGAACTCATCTTTCACATCATCTGGGCTGCAGTCAGCGGGAGAGTAGGCAGAGACGACGAAGAGGCAACGACGGGCGTCCCTATCTTCCCGAGTCCTTACTGTTACGTTTAGTCGGCCAGTGCACAAATGAATGTCTTATGGGATCCAGTCTAAGAGTGATAGTTCTGCCCTAGGTCTCAATACTATACCTACACCAGCGGGACCACGGGAAGCAACATAAGGCTTCCAGATACACGAAGCGTGAATCGAGATTGTTCTTTATTTTGATATGGTGAGGTCAAATGAATTAAACTACTCGGATCCTGTATGAGCGTTTCGGAGACGCAGCACACATTGATGGCGCGAGATTCCTAAGTCTTAGCTAAGGAGGCCTGTTGTCCTATTTGGCAGTGTTCGGACATTAAAAGCTCCTACATGTAGTTTCGAGCATGTTTTCAGGAGACCAGGAATGACGTTCCGCGTACTCGAATTGTTTTCACTAACATTGAGAGTTGATAAAGGAACGTGAGAAGGGTAAGTCGGGGAGATAAGAGAGTTATTAGGTGTAGAAAGGATTTGAATGTGACCAACTTGGTCTCGTGTCCTGTTACGGGTTTGAGGACTAATGTCACGTCCCGGCTGCCCACACTGTGGAAGGGTATTTCTTGAGGAACCTGAAAAAAAAGTTGGATTAGTGTTGGTCTCAACGACCCGGGAGCGTGACCGCAGAACTCAAGGGATAACTGCATGAGGCCGGTGGCTCACGGCTTTTCTGTGGGAAGTTTTTAACGTGTCAGCTCCGTTCTTTAGAAGGCCTCATCACCGGAGATGGGAATCCGTGAGGTAAGGTAAGGTGCGACATTTTTAGGGTCGACCTTTTCTGACCCTGTCCTTCCTTATGAGAAAGTAGAATCACTGCAGATGCTGGTTGCCCGAGGGCAACACCTTATTGCTGTCACACCCCTCTACAGTCAACAGTACGACTTCGCCCTCCGACCTTGATTTGCTGCTTTTAGTCTTACTGTTCTCCAATCGACCTGCCTGGCATGGTAGAACTTACAGGAATATATGTCCCAGCCAATATAGTTCGGTTGGGTCATCACGACAGGCAAGCCTGACCACCACGTCAAGGTAGCAGCTACGGTCCGGGATCCTATTACTATGATGACGTTTATGTAATATTTAGATGGTTGAAGAAAATGTATATTTGGTGTGTAATTTCTTATTCCTTTCAGCAATATATATATATATATATATATATATATATATATATATATATATATATATATATAAGTGTTCTTGACTTCTTTTTTTTATTAAAGATCAGAAAGGTGAAACGGTTGTTAGTATTGATTTGGACCTTCAATTTTTTCATGATCTTAAAGAATGTAAACCACTGATTGAGAAAAAAGAATATTTAGATAAGCATAAACTGTGAGTTTATTTTTCATGATTCGGATGTTTAATAATAAGACATAACGCATATTCGATTTGTTTTCATGTCATTTGAATATACTTGACTTTATCGAAAGTACTCTGAATAATCTTTATCAAGTCCAAATTAAAAGATATTATTTATCAACATTTCAAGATATGTTTCGAGAGTTTGATGTTGTTAGACGTTTAACGAAAATATAGGACATTATAAACCTATGTTTAGTTCTTAATGACTCTACATCCGAGCACGAAATCCAACGTATGTTTTTATAACAAATTTCGTTTTCGCCAAATCCAACCAACTAACTATTCAGACCGTTTATCATGGTAATCTTTTTCAGAAGTCGTCCCACTAACTCCCGAACATGTAATGCCTATTTTCTGATGAGTCTAAACATTTATCTATTGTTGCTTATCGCCAAAGCCTTTTCTATCGGTTTTGCTTTTGCTGGCCACCAATGTTCACGATCGTTGTGTAGACTTTTGTCAATCTACGTTTAATAAACGGAATACACCCATTATGACATTAAATAAGAAAGAAATATTAGTTCAGCGAAGAGTTCTCTTTTCGGCGAATTCATTTTCAAAGCTGTACAATCGCAAATATATATACTTATTTTTACAGGGTGATAATAATACTGATAATAAACTTCTGTTATACGTGGTGACAGTGAGGTTAAATAAACAAAGGTATTAAAAAGATTCTTTTAAACAAGGAAAGTTTAATAATCGTTTGATAGTTAATGGCTGAAGTATTCATTGGGTAAGGATGGCTCAACATGATAAAATAAAATGTTGAAACAGAGATGAAATGTGATTGGAATGATCGTGGAATTAAAAACAAACCGGTTGGGGGTAGAAGATTTGAAGGGAAGATGGAAGGTGAAGCAGGTGGCTGTAAGGGAACAAGAGTATGAAGAAATAGAAAAAAATTGTTATTACATTAAGACCATGATAGAAGAAGAGGTTGTACCAGTCTCTTTTGTACACATAATTCTGGTTTTTCAGAATGTATGGCTATTGCCTCGGCAATGCAAAGAAGATGCAGTCTAATTGTCTTAGGAAGGCTTCTACTTACCTTGTAGATGACTTTGAACGCAGAGTCTGTCTTGATTGAATGACCTATGTTCACGAGGTGTTCGATTATTGAACTTCTTATTGAGCCGTTGTCTCCTCTTTTTAGCCACTCCGGACGATATTCTTGAATTCTTTTGGATAAAATACGCATCGAACGACCTTTATACCTAGCTCCACAAGAGCAGGTAAATTGGTAAATGCACATTGAGTTGGTCAGATGCGATAATTTATCTTTCAGATTAATGGTGAACAGTGATCGGCTGGAAAACGTTTAAGTTTAAGCTTTCACTGCTCGTCGTGTCCCGTTTCTAATCATCAATCAATTCAGTAAATGCTACTGAAATCCACTGATTTTTCTTGACATTTTAGTTATAGCCACTATATAAATATTGGTATTTTCGCAGCTGATAAGATGCACTTCAGTGTTTAACCACGTCTTCAGTGTTTTAAGAATCCCTTAAACTTGGTCATTCAGATATCCCCAAAATTTTGATCATTAATCAGTTTAAGGAATTTAGCATCAAGGAGGTGCCGTGGTGATTGGTAAGTTACGCATTAGGAGATTCGTAACATTGACTAAAACTGACGGATAACAGTTTTTCAAAATATTTCTTTCTGTATAAAGTTGATTCTATGACTAAGTTAAGCAAAAACAACTAATAAACCTTGTTTTTCATCAGTATGTCGATACAATCCATGTTTTTATTATCTTTACAGACTTGTTATTCGCAATCTCTCTGAAATTCAAGCAAAAATCATTCTAACAAATTTAGACTCCAACTTCAAAGTAAGTTCATGTCAGAGTATTTCTTTACAGTGCAAGCTGCCAAACAAAAAGATCTTCTGTTAGTGTTAATGAATATATCTAACCAGACAATTTTCTCTGATTTTTGCAATATATTTTTTCATAATAAGGTTAACATTTTGTAATTCAGACTAGTAATGAATGTAAACAAAATGTAAGCTACAGGTTTTTCTATAAATTAACTTCTGTCTCTCCGCCTGCCCAAAAGTTTTTCACTGTTGATTATTAACAGATGTTTTATTTATTTAGTTGAAGGAATAAATATTGGTACAAAGGGGTACCAGATACATATGCGCCACACATAACAATAAGGATGTGACGAGATAAAAAATGTAAGGTACGTATAAGAAAAAAGCGAACAATAACGAACAGAAATTAATGTCTGAGAGTGGAGTATATAATAATGGAAGAAACAGTTCAGTTCGCAAAGTACAACCAGAAAGGATTCTTTCGTTTAGAGAAGTTACGTCCATTTTTTATGAAGAAAGTAAAATAAAGTTACAGCAGGGTCTCCACTGGTTCATATTCTAGGAAATATCTGATAACGTCTCTAGTCACTGTGTTGCACAATCTCTAGGACTCCAACCAGGGAGTTGTGAAGGACCAACAGGAATCAGTCCTGTACGGCTTTGTTTCATACACTGACCACCTCTCCACTTTTTCCAACCAGTCCCAGAGTCGGCAAATAATGCACGACGTAGAATTCTCTGGGACAACATTCGTAGAACATGTTCAAGCCACCCGAAGTCGATGTTTCAAGATAGTGCCACCAATTGAATTATCATCTCTGTGCCCGAACATACAATGACGAACCTCTGTATTACTAATATGGTGTTGCCACTGTATGTCAGCAATCCTTCAGAGATAACGATGGTCAAGCACAAAGAGTCGTCTAACATCCTCAACTCGGGAAGGCCAGGTTCATTCAACGATTTCTTATCCATGCTATTGCAAATAAAGTTCTGCACCTTTATTACTCACCTCATGTTTTCTTGTCAGTGTAGTTTGATAGTAGTCTCATACAATGTCTGTTAAAATCCGCTGTTCCACTTAGTATAAGTAAATATCACTTACAAAAATTTCTACACTGTGACTACTCTAAGTTGTGCGATTTTATTAATTTGTTCAGATATTCAAATTAACAGTGGTTTTATTAATAGATCTCTTAAGAGATAAGCGATAACTCCCTCCCTTTCCCCATAAAAATCATATTTCAATTCTAACAAAGCATTGACAATCTTGTTTTTTATCCTTTCTTATATTTTTAGCCTATCTCCAAAGCAGTGATAAATTTAGCCTGTGGTCTAAGCCACGCTCGAGAAATGCGAAACTTTTTCTTGGACATTATTGAAAAGGTATTTTTAAATTCTAAATCATTGAATTATTGATGTTCTGTAGTAGTTGCATCATATATACATTACATTTTTACCAATAATAAATGATGTACTGAAAAGGTCTGATAGTAGTAGCACTTCTCGTACGAAACGTGTTGTGCCACATAACCCTATGAAATGGTTGATGAGCAGTTTGATCACTTCAAAGTTTCTCTCGTATTATCGCCTTTTGGGAAATGCTGCAGCGTAGTTTCAAAAAACTTAAGTACCTCACTCTATCCCCCTGCAGGTTTTCCTACTGCTGATTGTAAGGTTAATTTCATTCAAATTCTAACCGTTTCATACGGTTTCATAGTTCTGTCTTCCTTATACTGTTCTCTTTAGTTACTACTAAGAATTGAATTTTCTGAATCGAATATCTGATTGCTAGCATGACTATTATTATTATTATTATTATTATTATTATTATTATTATTATTATTATTATTATTATTATTATTATTATTATTATTATTATTATTATTATTATTATTATTATTATTATTATTATTATTATTATTATTATTATTATTATTATTATTATTATTATTATTATTATTATTATTATTATTATTATTATTATTATTATTATTATTATTATTATTATTATTATTATTATTATTATTATTATTATTATTATTATTATTATTATTATTATTATTATTATTATTATTATTATTATTATTATTATTATTATTATTATTATTATTATTATTATTATTATTATTATTATTATTATTATTATTATTATTATTATTATTATTATTATTATTATTATTATTATTATTATTATTATTATTATTATTATTATTATTATTATTATTATTATTATTATTATTATTATTATTATTATTATTATTATTATTATTATTATTATTATTATTATTATTATTATTATTATTATTATTATTATTATTATTATTATTATTATTATTATTATTATTATTATTATTATTATTATTATTATTATTATTATTATTATTATTATTATTTTATTATTATTATTATTATTATTATTATTATTATTATTATTATTATTATTATTATTATTATTATTATTATTATTATTATTATTATTATTATTATTATTATTATTATTATTATTATTATTATTATTATTATTATTATTATTATTATTATTATTATTATTATTATTATTATTATTATTATTATTATTATTATTATTATTATTATTATTATTATTATTATTATTATTATTATTATTATTATTATTATTATTATTATTATTATTATTATTATTATTATTATTATTATTATTATTATTATTATTATTATTATTATTATTATTATTATTATTATTATTATTATTATTATTATTATTATTATTATTATTATTATTATTATTTATTATTATTATTATTATTATTATTATTATTATTATTATTATTATTATTATTATTATTATTATTATTATTATTATTATTATTATTATTATTATTATTATTATTATTATTATTATTATTATTATTATTATTATTATTATTATTATTATTATTATTATTATTATTATTATTATTATTATTATTATTATTATTATTATTATTATTATTATTATTATTATTATTATTATTATTATTATTATTGTTCTATACAAGCAGTTATTTCCTGTCTTAAGTAGTGGTATATACTTTCAATTTTTAGTTAATTGAACCAATGCGAGCACTGAACTGGCCATCAAGAGAAGTTAAAATGTTTTTCGATGCTTATCATAATACAGTTAAGGCTCTACCTCTTGGAAGGTAAATACTGTATCTTTTTATTAAGTATGTAGAAATATTTTGACATTTGTCCCAATATGTAGGAAAACACCCCGTTGTGTATAAGATTAGAGGTTGATATACGATTTCTAACATATGAATGACTACTTCGAATACATTATTTATTTATTTGAACACATACATATTGGTACAAGAGTGCGCCAAATATATATGCGCCACACAAAACAATGAGAATTTAAAGAGAAGGAAAAAGAAAAAAAGGTAAGGAGGGTAAAAAAGAAAGAACAGTAAGGAAGAGATTGGTGTAAGGTGGTGTAATAATAATAGTGGTAATAATGGGACGGAAAGGTACAATCAAAGAAACCCTTCAATTAAGAAAGACACAACCATTTTTTTATGAAGAAAGTTAAAGAAGAGGACAGCAGGATCGCCACTGGCTTCTATTCTGAGCCATATCTGGTAACGTCTCTAGCCACTGTGTTGCGCTATCTCTCGGAACCCAGCCAGGGAGTCGTGAAGGACCAACACAAGCCAGTCCTTTACAGCTTTCTTTCATACCACGGCACCATGTCATGCACTGACCACCTCTCCGCTTTTTCCAACCAGTCCCAGCGTCGGCAAATAATGCACGACGTGGAATTCTCTGGGACGACATTCGTAGAACGTGTCCAAGCCACCAAAGTCGGTGTTTTAGCATGGTGAAACCAATTGCATTATCGTCTCTGTGCCCGAACATACGATGCCGAACCTCTGTATTACTAACATGGTGTTGCCACTGGACCTCAGCAATCCTCATTAGCACGCTCCGACTACCAGGCTTCTCGGTCCTTACGCAAGCTTTGCCCGATTTCATTACGTAACATCCTTCGTTTGTGGTCAAACTCACGGTCACCTGGAGTAGACTGACGGGCTTCAATGAGTTGTAAGGAGCCTGGAGAAACCCAATGCTTATAAGCGGGACGTTTCGCGAACCCACAACTGATTTTACTCGCCATTTTCATGGTGTCATGCAATTGCAACCAATGCTCATCCATACTTTTCGGTGGAATGGTAGCTAGCCTAGCAGCTAGCTCGGTTCGATACTTACTTGTAACAGAAGTTGCAACCAGCTTGCTAACATCAATCCGTTGGTGGCGGTCACTTCGTTGGCTACCGAAAAGTAAGGTAAGATTGTCGCAGACCAAGGCATGATCAGAGTCCAGATAGGTACTCCAAAAGGAGCGGCAGTCTTGTACACAACCATGCCAGCGGTAGCTGATCGCAATGTGATCAATTTGAGTCCAGGCTTGAGATGCAGAGGGAAGACGCCAGGTGGCACATCGGCGATGACTGTGCCGAAAGTTAGTGCTAGCCAGAAACAGGTTGTGGTCTGTGCACAGTTGCAGTAGACGGTCCCCGTTATCTGTCCTATGACCAACAAGTCACCATCGGCCACCTAAACGACTCTCTTCTGTGACTAGACACCCGACGTGAGCATTCAAGTCTCCAGCTAGTACTACAATATCTGTCGAACGTACTTTCTGGAGAAGAACAGATAACTGGTGGTAAAACTCATCCTTGATTACATCCGGGCTGCAATCTGTCGGAGCATAGGCGGAGATGACGAAAAGACATCGTTTCTCACGCCGATTTCTTTTCACTTTGATGGAACTTTCTAATCTAACAGCACATAACCGACTGTTAATGTGGATCCAATCTATTAGTGCTGCCTCAGCTCTAGCGCTTAGTGAGACACCAACGTCAGCAAGACCAGACGGAGATGCCACAGGGTCCCCGGATAAACGCACGTAAAACAAGCTTTTCGAAGCGACAGATGGAGAGCGAATTTGTAGTACTTCGCCAGAGTCTTGAATATGGGTCTCGGATAAACAACAAACATCGATATTAAGACTTTCTAAAGACATAGCTAGCCCTATCTGTTGTCCAACTTGCATGAGTGTGCAAACGTTGAAGGCAGCCAGTTTGAATGGTGCACGTGGTTTCAAAAATACTGCTTCAGTCCTCGTATTCGGTGGTAACATACAATTTTCAACCGGACAGTGATTCGAGAACGTTTAGACAGAGCCGAATTTCTACCATAGACGAGCTGCTGTATAAGTCGAAAAAAATAAGTATAGACAGTAGGAATAAAAGAGGGTGAATAATGACGTAGTAAATAATAATAATAATAATAATAATAATAATAATAATAATGCGAGTCACTTGATTGTAATTTGGAGCGAGAGGAATATTTTTTATAAGTAGACAGTTTATCATGTTTTTGTGTGCGGGCTGAGATACTGCCCGGGTGCCTAAACCGAAGCAGGTGGTTTTCTTAGGGAGCCACACCCCGAGCCTTTGACCTAAAGGCCTAACCCACAAGGCAGTGGAGCATCGTGAGGAGATGAAGTCCCATGGTAGCCGGTGACCAAGGAATTGGTTCATACACCATTTGTTACCGCAGGATACTGGAGCCCATGTGCACCATTGGTTTGAGATCTGGTTTAAGCGCCGGACATTCGCTTTTCGTCCTCTCATTTTTGTAAACAACACCCCCGCCACGAGAAGGCAGTGAGTAGGACTTCCCTGGCAGAGGCTGTATACGCGTGGCCGTGTGAGAGTATTTCGAGAGGGAGGGCGAACCCACCCCGCTCTCGGCCATACCAGGACATTTGGGGGCACTTCGAATATGTGCTTGTATGTGTGTTAGCTACTGTTTCTCAAAGATCGATCATCAGCACATCGACTTTATTTTCTATCTTTAAGTGATTACACAATAATTTTCTGATACTCATATGTTACTACTTTAAAGAAGGATCGCCAATTAGATTAAACTACTCAGTGGTCACTTACCCATTTTTTTCAAACTTTCTTTTCTGATTTTCGAATTGTTTCAACAATTTGTTAAGTTATATACTATTTTATTTTGCTCAGCACTGATGTCGGGAGTGAAATACACTATTGAGCTAAAATGTGGTAAGGTGGACTACGCTTTTTGACTGTGATGTAGTAATTCAAATCCATACACATTTATCTCGCGCCTTATTTTGTTTGTCGGTTCCGACTACCAGTAACTTTTGTTACATGCCCAAGTTCTGCCACCTTCCTCAAACGTTGTGCTAACTTTGCGATGTTCAACAATGGCCACAAGTAGTTTTATATTGTAAGAAAACCCGAAATACTGTGACTTACAAATCAATGTATATGTCCCTCTGTAAGTAAGATGGGTAGAATAATCTTACTTACGCCAGGAATCATTCGCAGCAGTTTTTAAGTAGTTGAATATCTGCTTAAAAACTAAAGGAAATCTTGATTTACTAGGTAAAATCCAAAGTGTCATTTTCCTATTAAGTTTGTTATGATGGTGGGGGTGTTGGTTCTGACATTTTTATAATTCTATTAAAGGATAACACAGTGTTCGAGTCTGTTGTCTTAAAAATTCACCGAGATCAATCGTACTTTTCATTAAAGTGTCTGCTGTTTAATAACATGATCAAGGAACCCTTTGAAATGATTGATATGCTAGTAGTAAGTTGAATATCAAAATATCAATAGACTTCATAGCCTTTAATCAACTTAAACAATTAAAGTTAAAAAATATTCGAAGAAGAAATTGGATCTTAGAATGTTCAGTTCACGCGTGAGAAACAATCATTGAGTATTTTGGTGGAGTTTAGTTCTCTGAGCTGGATGGTTTGGTCTGGTTTGGTTTGGACTTCTATCTGAAGTTTGTGCTGATGATGTCGTTCAGAAGAACGATGAAAGCTCCACGACCAAACCATCCAGCTCAGAGAACAAAACTCCACCAAAATCATCCACCTGAGCTACAAATCTTCTCCACCATCTCAAAATCATTGAGTATAATGTATTACAATGCTAAAAAAGGAGGTCAACAGAATTCAATCGAATTAATGTGGATAATTTCATACACATAGTTCCCTTTATCATTTTGAAAAGAGCAAGAACAAAGATTCTAGCAGAATAGCATGAATTCATTTTATTTCGTAGGTTCTCGTCAGCTGCTTACAACCTGTGATATTTAAAAATCATAATTGCATAATGGATTTAAATTGCTTACAGAATATTGTAAATATATACCTAATGTGAAAGAATATTCTACAACATTAATTGTGACAACAGTTCAAAAAATGGGTTAGAAACAATTGATTACATAATGAATAAACATTGATAGGAATATAGTGAGTAGAGTTCAGTTGGAAAATTATTAATTTGAAAGATACTTGAAAAAATAAATTAGAACCAATGATGTAATAAATGCAACAGAAAAAAGAGGGAAAAAAAAGAAAAAATTTTTTAAGGTTCAGTGAAGGAATATTTGTCACCAGGGTAAGGAAAGATTAACCACCGTCTCCTTTTGAATACATAGGTCAGGTTTTTGTCGCCTGATGGCAATGGCTTCAGCAAACTTCAGAAGACTGGAGTTTGGCTGCTTACTAATCACCCTAAAGGATTGTAAGGTATCTACCTGATGTCCTGTATCAAGGAGATGTTTGGTGATCGCACTGTTCAGAGTCTTTCTTTCCCTTGTTCTAAGACTTTTTGGAACATGTTCAAAGAATCTAAGATATGCTCTCCTTTCAGTTCGGCCGATGTAGCTGCTTTGGCAGGTACACGTAAATTTATAAATACAGTTGGCGGTAACATGAAAGGGTTGCTTGTCGATCTTTGATTGGGTTATCGAACATGTTGTTTTATAGAGAATTAAAAGTTTAGCAGCCGGATAAGTTCTGGCTAGCGCTGTATTCAGTCTCTTGTTGATAATTTGTGCGACGTCATCACCTTTCAAGTTAGGATTTATATATACTGGTTTTTTATTGACCATAGTTATTTCCGTCTTCTTTTCCTTGGGCCTTTTATATTTGTCAATGAATTTTTTTGTGGATAAAAGTTGTCTTTTAGGCATTTTTCTACGTTCATTAATTCTTCTTCCAGTTTGTCGGTGGTGCATATCTTTTCTGCCCTGTAAAATAGTGTTTTAACCAACGCCTTCTTGTAACTAATTGGACAAAAAGTATAAAAGACCCAAGGAAAAGAAGACGGAAATAACTATGGTCAATAAAAAACCAGTATATATAAATCCTAACTTGAAAGGTGATGACGTCGCACAAATTATCAACAAGAGACTGAATACAGCGCTAGCCAGAACTTATCCGGCTGCTAAACTTTTAATTCTCTATAAAACAACATGTTCGATAACCCAATCAAAGATCGACAAGCAACCCTTTCATGTTACCGCCAACTGTATTTATAAATTTACGTGTACCTGCCAAAGCAGCTACATCGGCCGAACTGAAAGGAGAGCATATCTTAGATTCTTTGAACATGTTCCAAAAAGTCTTAGAACAAGGGAAAGAAAGACTCTGAACAGTGCGATCACCAAACATCTCCTTGATACAGGACATCAGGTAGATACCTTACAATCCTTTAGGGTGATTAGTAAGCAGCCAAACTCCAGTCTTCTGAAGTTTGCTGAAGCCATTGCCATCAGGCGACAAAAACCTGACCTATGTATTCAAAAGGAGACGGTGGTTAATCTTTCCTTACCCTGGTGACAAATATTCCTTCACTGAACCTTAAAAAATTTTTTCTTTTTTTTCCCTCTTTTTTCTGTTGCATTTATTACATCATTGGTTCTAATTTATTTTTTCAAGTATCTTTCAAATTAATAATTTTCCAACTGAACTCTACTCACTATATTCCTATCAATGTTTATTCATTATGTAATCAATTGTTTCTAACCCATTTTTTGAACTGTTGTCACAATTAATGTTGTAGAATATTCTTTCACATTAGGTATATATTTACAATATTCTGTAAGCAATTTAAATCCATTATGCAATTATGATTTTTAAATATCACAGGTTGTAAGCAGCTGACGAGAACCTACGAAATAAAATGAATTCATGCTATTCTGCTAGAATCTTTGTTCTTGCTCTTTTCATAATGTGGATAAATCAGAGAAGTGATTGTTTTTAATAGATAAGAAAATATTAGCTTAATATTTTGTTACTGTTATTTAATCACTTGTTATTAACTTCGTTTCGCACCTTACGTTGAACATTTATTATTGTTTCCTTTATAATACAGATCCTCAACTTTCCTCACTTTATGGACACGTTTCATCATTCCATTTTCGAATTGTGTAATCCACTTATATCATAATCAATCTATGTGAATAAAAACGATAATTCACAATAATTTCTATGCAGCAACAACAATTACCATTTTAGGACAAATCGAGTTCATTCCATGTCGTGTGCTCTAATTCTCTCATGTACGCACTAGTTTGTATCAATACATAAAATGTTTTACATTGTAGCTATATGTGTATGAAGTCATTTAGTTCACCACTAAAATATAGTTATAACTTCTTTTAATGTGGAGTCTTTAATCACTGATTTCCCACCAGAAGAGACCGTTGACATGCAGTCATGCTGTACTTGCAATAGTACGTACTTTGGAATATCATAGAGACTTATCTAAAAGAACCTCGGGATATACGCCGAATAACTTGGTCGTGAATTGCTCCAAACTACCTGGTGGTGTCATAGGAAGACATAAATTGGACACTAATCATCCAGTAAATCCTGATACTACCTTCCATGTGATAAATATACAGGACTATTTCAGAGTCCTACTTATGCAGAAGGCGCTGTTGTCAGGTGTCTCAACATGAATTTGTGTGTACAACAGGAACTTGTGGTTTACTTGACACTCGAGGTGACCGTTTTGCTGATAACCTTCCCTTCCATTTTTCCTCTATCATCTTTAAAGATATTTTAGACTGTCAGCAATTTCTTAAATCTGCTTAGTTTGCCTAACCTCACTTTCATTTGATCACAGTAACACATTCATTGTTCATTTTAGTCATTTTCATTCCTGATTTGTGGTTATTACAACTGGTGTTGTTATTTTAGCACTATTCAATAAAATGTTTGACCTCTTATCTATTTAGTATTTTGTTTTCGCATATCCTCTTCAACTATTATTGTCATTATTAGTGTTATTATCACCATTATGATCACTTTTATAATTGATTTTCGGTTGTTACCATCGATTTCATCATTCTGTCTACTATAATCATAAAAATTTGTACTTGCTTCTTCTGCCCATTCACGTCATATCCTTCCCCTCACTTAATCTGTCTTGAACGAGAATACAAGCGGAAACAATCGAATGTATTTTAATACAAAATAACAGAACATCTTAGTAAAATCTGAGAACCATACAGTAAATAATTCATTTGAAAAATGTCCATCAATTGTCTCAGACTTTAATGTTCCTTTATTTTTGTACCAATCCTTCTTTGTTCTCGTCCTCTTCTCTTCGATCTTCTCAACCTACTGCCGCCAGGTATTCCATTTTCCATTGATGATACATACTAGTTATATCTGTAAACATCAGCAGAATACACCACAATCCATTCACCCATAAACTAGACTTGTACGAATAGGGTAAGTATTTATAATTATTCTCTATTGATGAACTAATTTACTTCATACATGTTACACATACGGTTACAATGTAAAATGTTTTACCTATTGATACAAATCAGTGGGTACGTGAAGGAATTAGAGCACGTTAAATGACATTAGCTAAATTCATTTCGGAATATTGATTGTTCTTCATGTACAAATGGTTATTGGTGGGACTTAGTGCGTAGAACAATAACTTTGATCAATATTTTTTAATATTTGTACTTTACTAATTGTTTTGTGAATCTCGTAAATTATCTGTGATAATAAAATAATTGTTTCTTTATCTTAAATTTCTGTTTGATCTTAGAATATATTGGTCAATAGAAATATTCTTGTTTAGTGTATAAAAAGAGGGATTTATTGTGTTATTATATGTGGTGATGATCACTTCAAGAAGCACTGAATTTATTACTTACCTATCTTAGTCAATTAAAACAGATTGAAAATGTTTGTATGCAGAATTGAGTTTCACAATTAACTTTCTTGTTTGCTTATACTTTAGAAAGATATTTGTTTAGACTAGTAGTTGTATTGTTCAAGAAATTACCAGAAAAATAAGCTCTCGTTCTCGAAAGTCAGCTTCATTTAGTTTCAATTGTTACGATCTCATTAACTATTGCAAATTGTAAGCAAAGTGTTTGACTTATCCACTCTGTACTGAATAATTAAGTTTAAGGATAATTTTGAACAGGAACTGATATCTTCTGGCAAATCATTAAATAGCGGAAACCATCAGGCCAGTTTTTGCATTCTGATCTGTAACTGCACGTGCTTTCAACGACTTTCTGTAGTTACTGTCGATTCGTGATAATTACTATTGTGGTGTGTGCTACTGTTGTTGACAGATATAAGTAGTATATATCATCAATGGAAAGTGAAATGCCTGGAGGCAGAAGGTTAAGAAGATCGAAGAAAAGAGAACGATAACAAAGAAGGATTGGTGTGGAAACGAAAGAGCAATGAAGTCTGAGACGAGTGATTGTCATTTTTCAAATGAATTATTTACTGTATGGTCCTCCTATTTTACTGGGATGTTTTGTTATTTTGTATTCAAATACATTTGATTGTCTCCGCTTGTATTCTCGTTCACTACACTATTATCAGGTTAAATTAGTTTTCACAAATAAGCCAATTAATGAAGTGATGTGAATATTTCCATATTTAAAGATTAGGAAAAAGATTAATTTATCAATGAATTTTCTATTTACTCATCATTATGTATCTGCACTAATGTTGTTTAGGTTTTACAACCAATAATAAAATAAGTACCAATTATTTAGTAATGAATTAATTAAAACTTTTTATGGATTTTAAGTTATCCATATAAGTAATGACTGCGAATACGATTCAAGGAGTACGATAAGTAAGTTTAAAGGTTGTTTATAGTACATAAATTTAAATAGGGTACACTGTATTTTAGAAATTACTTAATAAAAAACGCAAATCCCAGTTTAAAATAAAGAGAATAGGTCTCTGGTAAATGGTTTTGTTCTTTCGAGTATATAAAATTTTAGGAGAAATCTGTGATTATTTCATCGGCTGAGGTTGTGAGATCAGTTTAAATTTTTCAGTATACAAGGAATTTTTAATGTGATGAACGCTGATATAGATATATACGTAACTGGCGATATGGATCGAATGGTAGACAACAAACGACTTTGTAATCCGTAAGTTGAGTTACCGTCAGGTATCTACCACCCAGGCTGCCAACTACCCTAGTGTATGTTTTAGAAATTCTACAACATAGTTATCTGGCTGTATTCTCCAAATGAATATGTCTACAGGACAGTTACACTGTCAAATACTATAAGTGGATGTAGATGTAGAGATAAATATACAGTTTCTCTATAGTAGTTGTTATTTGCAAATTCTTTTTACACAGCTATCATCTGTAATTTTTAATAATGAGAAATGATTAGTTGTTATTTTACCAAACAACGATTCTGGGGATTTATCTCGGTCACTAAGTCTGGCATTTGTTTATGTCAAATGAAAAATCAACTCAATACATAGATTGCTTAACCTTCAATTGGTAGATAACATGTTCGAATTGTATTCCACCTCATTTGGTCTAGATACTATCACTAAACTTATGCATATTGTGCAATGGAAATTCGAGTATGTAAACCTGTATTCGGCGTGTGAATTATTAAATGTTAGAATGCTAATAATTGTTTCTGAATGATTATTCTGCTTTGTTTTCATCCAATTACGATTGGTTTTAAGCTTCTGTAATACATTTTCATATTGTTTATAATGATTGTACTCTCAATATTACTACTCTTTATTTATAATTGAGGCCATTTGATATAAAGTTGATAAATGTAATCACAATTGATTGATCACTGGGTGGTGATCAATGTCATGCTTGTCTAGTCCTTATTAGTGCAGATCGAATGCGAATCTGCCAGGGAGCATCAGTTCCCTCAAGATTACAGGTACACCTTGCTGACGAGTGCCAAGTAGTACGAAACCCAGGTCCAGGGTTTACTGTTGACTACCTCCAACCACCATATAATCTGAGTTGATAAATGTATCAATAGTTAAGTCGGTTTGTATTATAGTTCTTCATAATTCATTTTAATAACAATAATAATATGATTAAGAATTTTATACTAAACGATAACAGATCCAATTCTATTACGTAAAAATCATTCTTCAGTATACTTATTGATTATTTCAAATTCGTTCGTCATTACTAAATGTGTAAGAATTCATATTACTTCCTTGAAGTGATATGTATGTTTTGCACAATGAATTACATATATATACTAAATTTATTCATTTTTTATCTAATTCATATCAATTATACCGTTGAATATTTACAAAAATCTAATTTGTTTTGTACAGATTCAATGTTAGAAACAGGATTTACACACATTATTTTAAATAGTACACTACCATTATTTGGTAAATTGAAATGGTTCAGTATTGAAAATTTAACGAATATCAATAAATTGCAGAAATTAAAAACTATACATTCTCATAAATGTTTTAATAAAACAATTCAAATGTTTGATGATTGTTGGAATTATATAAGACAACTATTTATTGAATATTTAATTCCAATAGAAAATAACAATGATCGAGTTATTATTGAAACATTTGAACAAACTCAAAGAAATGAAACAATAAGAACTATAAATAATGTAACCTATTTGAATTTTTTAAATGCACTATGTTTAACTGCATGTTATAGTCGATATCAAGAAAATTTAGAACCGATTATAAATGATCGTGTTTTTTGTCCATTCCCATGTGTTATACAAGAAGACTGTTCATTTAATGAATGTAAAAATTATGGTATATTTACACATGAATATGAATGTCCTTGTGATAATTCAAGTAAATGGGATAGAGATAGTAATGAATGCTTACCAGATAGTATATACAAGATAAGACAAACGAGAAATTATGTAAGTAGATTGATTTTTCATATGGTTATATGGGGTTGATATTGTTTTTTAATATGAAAAGACACAAAATTTCACAACTTTGAATCTGCTTTTCATTTGCAGACTGACTTCAGAATGGACAACGGTTGTTTTTAGAGTATATATTTACAATTGTAGACGGAGTTAAAAAATATAGTACAAAATTTCCGACTCACACTAGCGAACATGTGGAAAAAGTTAATTTTATATTACCACTTATTTTCATAATTATAGCAATTAGGAGAAAACTAGAAATTACTGACTATAAAAATGAAATCTTAAACATGCAAATCAAGCAGTTTATTTAGCTGACGTAACATTCCCTTATAAATTTATAATCTTAGAAAACCTAGAGACACTGAACATTCGTTTGTTCCTATTTCAGTAACTCAGTCATATGCAACGTAGAACCTGCCACATGTGTGTATTCGTTTAAGCTACCATACCCTACTAACGCAGCGAAATGAAATTGTCATAACATACCAGAGTAAAACATGTACTAACAGTATTAGGGGTTGTATAAAAGATCAGGTATGGAAGATACAATTCGAGATTAGTAGAATAATAGCAATAAATTGCATAAGGTAGTTTAGAAACTTAGGATCTAAGTGTCGACAAAAGGTTCATTCCCCCGTGGGGTTAGCGACACATTGCCGACGATTCCCATACTAGAACAAAAAAGCTGTCTAGTGCTTCTTTGCTTTTACAGACTGTCTAATTATAGTCATTCCGTGATGTAAACTATGGAATTCAACATTCGCTACAAATCTATACTAATAGGTAGTGAGTAGTATTTACTTCACCCAAACTTATTCCAGTTTTTTTCTTTTACCTAACTAGCCTGATATGTTAACGAAAGAAAAGATTCGAAGGCAAAGAAGCCCGAGGAATTGTGAGCCCTATAGTAAATGTAGTAAAAATGGAACATTATTTTGTACATTGGATTCAAATTATGAGGTTAGTAAAATAATTTGTTCACTGTATTGTGTACTGAGCATAAATATTATCCGTAAAATAAGTTGCTTATCGAAAACAGGTAGTTCGAAAATTTAGGGTGTCGGAATTGAATACATTTTGATGAGTTGTTGATGTTGTTGACTATGTACTAGTGAATGTATCATGTGGAGAACGTATTACTTCTGCCTGCGTAAATGAAGGATGTGAATGTTCTCCAAAGTATCTACATTGTCCACGTCTGTATTTTATCTTTAGACTGAGCATAATTTCTTTATAGGAATTTGGCTTTATTTCTTGGTCAGTTATGAAATATTTCTTAGAACAATATACTTTTAATTCATGCTATAAAATGCCATGAGTAAATCAGTTTTACCGTTGGTATCGGATGGAAATTACTTTCTGTCAAAAAGTGGTTGAACCTGGAAATGGAATATTGGATTCTATATAAGAGAATTGGAAACAGACGCGAAAAGGATGATTAGCAACTACAAAGGATTGCCTATGACAGAGTTGGATGGAGAATGTTGGTGGGTGGCCTATGCTCCTTCACGAGGGGTAACAGGGGTAAGTAAGTAAGTACAGCATAATATAAAGAGGTTAAAAAGGACGAAGTTAAAAATTAAAAAAAATTAACTTATTGTATATAATGTAATATAATTAGATGGCATCGAAAATGTATAGGTAATTAGATGTATTATACATATTATGTTCCTCAAAAAATTGTAATAACACAAAGTTCTAGGTTAGTTGAAAACTTTTTAGAAAGTACTGAAGTACGACACAATTTCTGCTTTGTAAATTTTGTAACCGTATCTTACTATGTATTCTATAATACGGTATTGTACGTTTAGAAAACTCTTATCTAGTGATTTAATTTGCTGCACAGTTGTTCTATGTAA